ACATAGAGCAGTCTCATGTCTGTAGTCTCTCACTTAGCTGTGGTTCAAGCTGTGTTCTAACTATCTGGATGTCAGTTAACACTCCACTGAGTACAGTTTGCCTTCAGGACAAATTCAGATAAGATCATCGGAGCAATATTTATCTAAGTAAAATGTATCTAGCCTATCCCTCATAGTATGAGTGGTATTTTCTGTATATACATCTTACACATGCCCCACCCGCATGTGTTGTAGGTAAGACAGCTATTCCAGGGACCTCCCCCTCATAATGAGACAAAGTGTTTGCGTGACACAAACATTCTCTGCCACAGTAGCATGCGTGTCGTGCGTATTGTGTCGCAGGTGACTGTGCTGCTTCTAGTGCTGCGTGACTATTGTCCTCCTCCTGTGTATAAACACAACTGGTATTTGTGGTCTCCAGCATACAAGCTGGACTTCCCCACTGTAATTCGTGTTCAGGACCCACTGTATTGATAATGAACTTTCCTTTGCTTTCTGTTTGAAATATGTTTCACAAACGACTATACTTTCGTATCTGTATAAGCATTTACTTGTGACGAGGGTTTGATTCCCCACTTGGGTACATTGTGTAAAGCCTATATCTGGTGTTCCCCACCGTGATATTGCTGGAATATTGCAAAAGGGGTTAAATTTTCACTCACTCACTCATATCTGTATAACTTTGCTTTGCTAAGCTTTGCTGTCATTGGTTTTAGATTTGATAATGTAAGAATATTATAAACACTTTCTCCTTTTGTAGACATTGTGAACAGACAGCACCTCCTTCTTCTTTCTTGCACACAAGTGTATATAACCACTGTTGTAGTTTCTCTGGGAGGGACCCGTGAAGGTCTGGGTTAGAACGAACCTTAAGTAACCCATGCTTGTTGTAAGAGGCGACTAACGGGATCGGGTGGTCAGGCTCGCTGACTAGGTTGACACATGTCATCCGGTTCCCAATTGCTTGAGATCGATGCTCATTCTGTTGATCACTGGATTGTCTGGTTCAGACTTCGATTATTAACAGACGCCGCCATATAGCTGGAATATTGCTGAATGTGGCGTAAAACTAAACTCACTCACTCTCACTCTCTGGGAGGGAGGGCTACCCTGGAGGTTTACTAAGCGTGTTTGTTTAACATGGAGAGAAGTCTGTCAGGATCAACACCATTGGATGAACATGGGATTCTAACCCTGACAGCCAGGCAATTGGGGAAAAATAAGTATTTTGTTCAGAATTGGGAAGTGGAACCAGTTTGGCACAGTTCGCAGACCCTGCCACTTTGATTCAAATCATATCTAACCCACTTACATTGTTTCCAAATTCAGTTTATCATTTACATGAACCTATGAATACACAATGTCATCTAGGAAAGTGGTGAGATGTAACATATTCTCTATTTGGGATTACACTTTCTCAGTAAAGTACTTTTTCTAGTAGTATTTTAGTTGAGACCCATCCAGGATTCGACCCCACATTCTCATAGTAAGGCTGCACATCGCCAACACGTAATCCAGTAATATATTTACATATGAACCTAGCAGTAATGATTGCCATTATTACAGATGGTGTTGCATGGTAACTCTGCTACATTTATACTTGGAACTGTATTCCTTTGAAAGGATTGACCTATTCCCATTCCGACCTTGCTTGGTGCCCATTTTTCAGACCTAAGACCTTACTGGACCTTAGTAATTAATGAAACAGGCATTGTCTCTCTAATTAGAGTAATTATTACTTTCTTGATTGATAATGTGATTTTGTTGAATGTTAGTGAGCAGAGTTGTGTTGAATGATCGAATGGCTTGAGCCATGTGTGTACTGTGCATGGCTGATTCTCTCCCAGTGGATGTGGAGGTGAGACTGTGTCACAGAACCAGTGGTTCATGATGATCTAATGCCTGCTCCTCCCTTCATGTAACTAAACCAGCAGTGTTCATGATGATCTAATGCCTGCTCCTCCCTTCATGTAACTAAACCAGCTGGTTCTGTCAGCGTTGCATCTGACAGGGGTCAAGGAACTTCCTCCTCTACTGACCACGGCTAATCACCACGCCAACTCACATGGGGTAATCACACATACCTGCCACACCCACTCCCCTGGGGTCATCACTCACCAGAGTGTGAAGGGTGGAGATCACTGCTTGGTGACTGTATATTCTTGAAGTGATTTGTTTCCTGTTTGACGAGTCAGACTTGGTATGTATAAACATGGAATACATTTTTTTAATTTTTTATGTTTCTCACCAAACCCCACCATTACCATATATTACCATCTATAAGCCAACCCCATAGATAAGCCGACCCCCAAACTTGACCCTTAAAATCAGTGTCAAAATGGTATGTTTCGTGCATAAGCCGACAAGTCATAACATTTAAGCTGTATATTATATCTTTAGGACATATAAACATAGAGCAGTCTCATGTCTGTAGTCTCTCACTTAGCTGTGGTTCAAGCTGTGTTCTAACAAGCTGGATGTCAGTTAACACTCCACTGAGTACAGTTTGCCTTCAGGACAAATTCAGATAAGATCATTGGAGCAATATTTATCTAAGTAAAATGTATCTAGCCTATCCCTCATAGTATGAGTGGTATTTTCTGTATATACATCTTACACATGCCCCACCCGCATGTGTTGTAGGTAAGACAGCTATTCCAGGGACCTCCCCCTCATAATGAGACAAAGTGTTTGCGTGACACAAACATTCTCTGCCACAGTAGCATGCGTGTCGTGGGTATTGTGTCGCAGGCGACTGTGCTGCTTCTAGTGCTGCGTGACTATTGTCCTCCTCCTGTGTATAAACACAACTGGTATTTGTGGTCTCCAGCATACAAGCTGGACTTCCCACTGTAATTCATGTTCAGGACCCACTTTATTGATAATGAACATTCCTTTGCTTTCTGTTTGAAGTATGTTTCACAAACGACTATACTTTCGTATCTGTATAAGCATTTACTTGTGACGAGGGTTTGATTCCCCACTTGGGTACATTGTGTAAAGCCTACATCTGGTGTTCCCCACCGTGATATTGCTGGAATATTGCAAAAGGGGTTAAATTCTCACTCACTCACTCATATCTGTATAACTTTGCTTTGCTAAGCTTTGCTGTCATTGGTTTTAGATTTGATAATGTAAGAATATTATAAACACTTTCTCCTTTTGTAGACATTGTGAACAGACAGCACCTCCTTCTTCTTTCTTGCACACAAGTGTATATAACCACTGTTGTAGTTTCTCTGGGAGGGACCCGTGAAGGTCTGGGTTAGAACGAACCTTCAGTAACCCATGCTTGTTGTAAGAGGCGACTAATGGGATCGGGTGGTCAGGCTCGCTGACTAGGTTGACATATGTCATCGGTTCCCAATTGCGCAGATCGATGCTCATTCTGTTGATCACTGGATTGTCTGGTTCAGACTCGATTATTAACAGACCGCCGCCATATAGCTGGAATATTGCTGAATGTGGCGTAAAACTAAACTCTCACTCACTCACTCTCTGGGAGGGAGGGCTACCCGCAGGTTTACTAGCGTGTTTGTTTAACATGGAGAAGTCTGTCAGGATCAACACCATTGGATGAACATGGGATTCTAACCTGACAGCCAGGCAATTTGGGAAAAAATAAGTATTTTGTTCAGAATTGGGATATTTTCTTACATTAAACCTCTTGCTCTTATTGGTCCTTTCATCAATGAAATACTGGCTTCTTCTGCAGTCATATAACTGGCTATTCCTTGTTGCATGGGCCAGGAAGATTTGTAATTCCAGTTTTTCATGAAATTTGCTTTACTAGACCTCGATTGATCCCTGACTGGCCACAGCTGACTAGTTCAGAGGTCATTTTGGACTTGTAGTTTATGTAAAGTAACTAGATTTCTTTTGAAATTGTCCCGCTAATAAAATCTCACAGTAACCATGACAACAAATTGTGGCCATGTCTCACCGCATGTATGTGTACAAAGAGTAGAATGAAAAGATATTGAAGACATATGGATGAAGTGATGTTAGCCAAAAGTAAATGGGAAAGTTAAACATGGTGGTCTGTGATAACTAATAGCAATCACAAATATGGCAACATTTATCATTTGTGTGTTTCTGCTGATTGCCACCACTAGTTGTGAGTCTTGGTTAACGGTTATGGAAATCTGCCCATTGCTGTTATGAGAAGTGCAACTTAATTAGGTTTATGACTATAAGTGTGATTAGAGCGAAGTCATTACCTGTCTGTGTGTGCACTCTGTGCCATCAGTGGACTTGGTTTCCCCATCCTCATATACATGGAGAGGGATGAATACGGGCCCCAGTGCTGATGATGCTGATCTGCTCCCCACTCTAATACTGACGTGAGTCCCTGAAAACCCCCACCCCACCTAGATGCTGATGTGAGTCCCCTACTCTGATGCTGATGTAAGTCCCTGCTCCACCCCACCCCACCTAGATGCTGATGTGAGTTTCCCTCCTCTCTATACTGATGTGAGTCCCTGCCCCACCCAGATGCTGATGTGAGTTTCCCTCTCTAATGCTGACTTGAGTCCCTGCCCCACCCCACCTAGATGCTGATGTGAGTCCCCATCTCTAATACTGACGTCAGTCTCTGCCCCACCCCACCCCCACCTAGATGCTGATGTAAGTCCCCATCTCTAATGCTGACATAAGTCTCTGCCCCACCCCACCCCACCCCACCTAGATGCTGATGTGAGTCCCCCAGTCTAATACTGACATGAGTCTTGTACTGGGCTACAGATACAAAACATTATGAGAGTGCCTACCCCCTCCTTTAGTGTCCCTTCAGCTTCAGCTCATAATGAATTATGGCGGAGGCCATGTTTCAGTACCAGATGAACTCTAGTTTTTAAGGCCTACAACACAAAGGTTATTGACATTAACAATTGTTTTTTGCAGATACCTCTGATGAACAAGATCTTGTACTTGGAATTTTGCCAGATTTTAAATGAAATGTGTGTTGGTGATACTGGGCCTGATTGTGTGTTTACTTGCAGGTAAGCTGTGAGCCTTGTCGCCGTGACAATGATGAATGGCACGGAGTGCGACACAAACCCCGCTTCCCAGTTGTTCGATCAGTTCATCAGCGCTGTCACATGCAAGAGCATTCTAGGAACCTTCCATGACCTATGTGACAGCCTCGGTCTCACCAACACTGACCATCGGAACTTCTATAAACAGCTAAAGTCAAAGCTGACATCATGGAAGGCCAAATCACTATGGACGAAATTGGACAAGCGGGCATCACATCGCGACTATCGCAAGATGGAGGCATGTCCAAATACAAAGGTAAATTGACTTTTTAAGCACATTCTGGAGATGCTGATGAAGTCCAACATGTTGCATTCATCATGTTTTTAACAATAACCAGGGCTCAATTTAGTGCTTTGTTACTTGCACTGGTGCAACCCAATATTACAAAGTGCAACATAAATATTAGTCTAACTTGCACCAGGTGCAGGTCAATTTGTGAGTGGGTAAACTTCTGAATAAAACATCTAAATAATTCAATAGCATATTTCTTTCATTACATATTGCAATAAAAGCAGTGCAAATGGAATTTGGCTGGTGCAGCTAGGTTTTTATCTTAGGTTGCACCTGGTGCAAGTAGGTTAACATATCTTAAATCGAGCCCTGATAACAGTGGACGTTTATGTACCTACAGTTCATTGGGATGTTTTGGAGTCTCCAGGGCCAAAAATGGGGATATGGTTGTTGTAAAATGTGTGACTGAATCACCACCACATGGATGCGTTTTCTTGCCATCAGTACAAGGGACAGGAATTGTCCATTCCATCCTGATCTGTACAGGTTGCTGTTGTTGTTTCCTTGTGCCCATAACACAGCTTCAGTTCACCTCCTCATTGGTGTTTAACTGTGGTAGAGAGAGTTTGGTAACAATATTGTTACCGTAAGGCCAGTGAACCATTATAAAGGTGCTCTTGTCACTGTGAAATTAAACAAATGAGGAACTTTGAGGAAGTGGTAGATTTGTGGTGGGTGTTGCAGGTGCTGATTATTGGTGCTGGGCCGTGCGGGATGAGGATGGCCATCGAAGTGGCATTGTTGGGAGGGAAGGCCGTCGTGGTGGAGAAGAGAGACCGGTTCTCTCGGAACAATGTCCTTCACCTTTGGAACTACCTCATCTATGACCTGAAGAACCTTGGTGCAAAAAAATTCTTTGGCAAATTTTGTGCTGGTTCCATTGAACACATCAGTAAGTATAGCAACTGGTTGCACTGAACACATTAATTGGTACAGTGACTGTTTGCACAGAACAAATCAGAAAATATTGTGTTGATCAGATTTATTTGGGTCAAAAGTATCTTTCTTTAGTCTCTGGGTCAAGATATTGTTTAACCAGTAGATCAGTCGTTTAGATTATGTGCTAATCACAACAATTTACTGTCAATACTGAACATATATCAAACCAAATAGAAATCTGCAACACAGTATATTTAATTTGAATGGTGACCAATATACACCCAGTCAGAGAATGAATAAAACAGAGATTCATATCCAGTATATTATTTGCTTCATATCACAAGTATTGCTACAAACATGTGTAGTGTCGGATTGTTTTCCTTCTATGTGGTACAGCTGAGTATTGTGAGCTCTATACTGTGGTGTTTCCGCCAGGTATCCGGCAGTTGCAGTGTATTCTCCTGAAGGTGGCGCTGCTGCTGGGTGTCGAGGTCCATGTCAATGTAGCATTCGAGGAACTCATTGAACCCCCGGAAGATCAGTCAAGTCGTGAGTAATGACATTTGGTGTTGTTATTTTCCCATTCAGATCTATAATCAACCAATCAGGAATCACTAGTTTGTTCTGGTTGGGGGAGGGGAGCAGTTATAGAAACAATTGTCACAGAATAAATAAGTTTGGTTAGCCAATCAAATGCCTTATATTTACTTGTACATTAAGTTTGAACTCAATATGCAGAACAAGTGTTCCAGATTGTATTTTTGTCCAATGTTATGCATTGAAGTTTGAAAGTATGTCTCGTTGCTTCAGGGACATTTTGTCAGAGAAACCTTTTGTTGACAGAGTTGTTCACTTGTCAGATACCATTCTAAAGTATTTTTAACTGATGTCCTCCTCTTACAGCGATCGGATGGCGCTGCCGTGTGACGCCAAGCAACCACCCCGTGTCCGAATACCAGTTTGATGTCCTCATTGGTGCTGATGGCAAGAGAAACACAGTTCCAGGTACAGTTATCTCCCTTGGCAAACCATCCCACGATGGCTTGATCTGTGCTGGATGAACTCCACTGCTGTAGAGTGGAAGACATTTCTGTGGGTGTCCAGACCCTGGAATCAAGAGTATCATGGGACCCTCTATTATCGCGGTAGTTAATGTTGTCGCCATCGGGATTATGAAAGGCTACTGACATTTAGCATTTAATATATATTTTCAGTTGACTGATGTTTAATCTTCATTTCTGTCACAAATAATGTGACACATGGTCACAACTCGTTTAATACCATTCCGGCAATTCCGATTGTCTCGTTTGACCCGGAAATTGAAGCAACTCTCTATTATCGCGGTATTGCTATTTTCTTACTATGGCACACGGTACAAGCAGATGACACTGTGAAACGTTTACTAATACAAGTAACGAATCTAAATAGTTTGATCATTAAAAAATATTTAGGAATTTTATTCACATTAGTAATATCATCATGTTTTTAACCCAAACATCTGAAACGTCTATTCATTTGGATACAAGGTAACAATAACGTTACAAAATGATGATTTTCCGCCTTAAAACGTACCATACAAGTTGCTGCCGTGTGTAGAGTGAAGTTGCATAATACGTCACTTCCTGTTATATTTTTGGCATGGAAAATATGCAAATGACCTTATAGTTGTCGCAGGATTACTCTTGACGAAGTAAGTTTTGATTCATGCTAGATGTAATGGCAGTAGGGGTCATACTAGTTTTAAAATGTTCTAGAACTTACTGAAAAGATGAATGCTTAAATATTTCTACGATAGACATGACATTCCAATGAAATAAATGACTTTTTCAAGAGCGATGAATATATTTTATGTAATTTGCATATGTAAACAGCCGATGCGGGGCGTGGTGTGTCTGCTTTCCCGATGTTTTTGCGTGCCGCGATAATAGAGAGCCCACGATAATAGAGAGTCCCAGTATACAAACAGTGTATTCCCCTCACATAATAAACATTAGGTCAACATCAGGTCAACATCAGACATTTGCATCTCAGTTATCCTGTGTGTCTGTTTCCGTACCCTGGACCCCATCTCCAGTGAAGGTATATAAGTTCAGTTCAGATGACCCAGCACTGACAGTAGCCATCCAATCAAATTACATGATGGTGGGGACCCTCCATATTGGGGAAGTAATGATATTAACCTGTGCTGTCATGATAAGCCTTAAATACAACTGGTAGCATAAGGACGTCTCTCACCTTGTCTGATACACAAGAAAGCATGTTTCACAGCAAGAACTTCATTCTTATTTTTAGTAAAATTCTTTAAGATATATATTTTTAACAACAAGGAAATATTTGTTGAATGTAGATCGGTGCTGAACTCTCTTTCTGTTAAGTTCATGTTCACCAGCTGTAGAAAGTCGGTTAGTGATAATGGAAGGTCAACATCAACACTTTCTGTTCCAGGTTTTAAGAGGAAAGAGTTTCGTGGAAAACTGGCAATAGCCATCACAGCCAATTTCATCAACCGCAACTCGAATGCCGAGGCGAGTGTGGAGGAGATCAGTGGTGTGGCGTTCATCTTCAACCAGAAGTTCTTCCTTGACCTCAAAGAGAAGACCAGCATTGACCTGGAGAACATTGTGTACTACAAGGACGAGACTCACTACTTCGTCATGACAGCCAAGAAGGGCAGCCTCCTGGAAAAGGGTGTACTCAAAGAGGTACGGGAAGTCGTCTAGTTTTCCTGAGTCAGTAGAATAATTAACAAATCAGTTAAATATCAGTGGGGATCAAGTCCAGGCTAAATACAGACATATCTGATTCAAGTTTAAAAAGGACTGTGTAATGTTTTGCTAAATGTTATTTAGCTTAATAATAATCTAATTACACAGAGCCAGTGTCTCAATGTTACACTTGGCACCACGTGTTATGGTTTCAGTGGTAGATTATCAGTTTGTTCAAGTCAAGATGAATGCCGGCTTTTATGTAACTCAACAAGGTCAGTGTGGACTTATTATCATTCTCTGATGATCTCCTGATAGGCATAAGTTCAGCTGGCATGGACATACTAGACTGACCACACTTCTGGGTGCAGCTAAGCTGTTACTTTGATCTAACTGTGATGTTCACTCCCAAGGAAGACAGTAGGTAGCTCTACCTCAACTTCACTGTGACACTGAACATTGAAATTGTTTGACCGTGCAGAACAGGAGGGATAACGACATACTGTCATCAATACTTGTGACTGGGCATGTTGACTTATGTATACCCCTGTGAAGTTCGGTTAGAATCAGTCTTAAGCAACCCAAGTTTGGTGTAAGAGTCAACTAACATTAGTCTGGCTGGCTAGGTTGATGCAGGTCATTGTACCCCAATAGTGTAGATCACTGCTCATGATGTCAACCCCTGGTTTGTCTGGTCCAAGCTTGATCATTTACAGGCCACCTTCATTTATGTGACATATTGATGACTACAGACTTGAACAACTAACAGTGGCTCAAAGTTTTGATGAGCCGACTGATGAATGGAGAATCTGATGACTTGTTTCCCTTTGCAGGACTACATTGACACTGTCCAGCTCTTGTCCCGGGAGAACGTAGATCAGGATGCATTGTTGAATTATGCGAAAGAGGCAGCGGACTTCTCGACCAATCACCAGCTTCCATGCCTAGACTATGCCGTCAATCACTACGGCCAGGCCGACATTGCCATGTTTGACTTCACGTCCATGTTTGCAGCAGAAAACGCCTGCCGGGCCCTGGAGAGGCACGGCCACAAACTTGTCATCGGGATTGTCGGGGACAGCTTGTTGGAGGTGATTATAGGAAGATGTTTCATGTGTATAGTTGCTGTGGTGTATGACTGACAGTCTGGATGGGTGAATAGCCTCCCACAGTAAACAGCATGGAGACTAGCAGATATCTAAAATCACACTTAAGTGGCATAGCACAATGTATTTTCATAAATGATGCAAAATTCACATTATGTTTACCATATGCAAGACGAAAATTAAGAAGAAGCGACAGCTCTTTTTGTCAGGCTGACAGATAATTATGGGGGAAATATTTCTTTAAAATATATAAGATTTGGATGGGTTGAAATGAATGTGAAAGAAGCAGAACCTTCTGAGTATCCGTTACTCTGTTACATGACAGTAACAAGTGATTGTATATCTGACAGCCGTTCTGGCCAACTGGGTCGGGGTGTGCCAGGGGCTTCCTGGGAGTGTTTGATGCTGCCTGGATGATCAAGAGCTGGGCGTCAGGCAAGATGTCCCCTCTGGAGGTGATCGCAGAGAGGGAGAGTATCTACCAGCTGTTGTCACAGACAACGCCAGAGAACCTCCACAAGAACCAAAGCCAGTACTCCATAGATCCCAACACAAGGTCAGTTATGAGGCGGATGAAATCTTATTTTAGAGTCATACTGGTGATTTACTAGTTGCATGTTGAATTTTTTTGTACTGATGTTTCCACTGAAACTATTTCAGGTACCCCAACATGAACTTGAAGAACCGTCTGAAACTGGTGCAGGTGAAGCACCTGTACGATGGCCCTCTTGACAATATGATGATAGAGGAGGCAGTGGATGATGGTGTTCCTGCTAAGCGGTCTCGAATCTCTGGCACAGCCGTCAACAGTAAGTTGTATACTCAGGATGTGTGTATTGCCATCATACCTATAGATGTGGGTGCCATGTGTGAAGCCCTTTACTTGTATCCTCTGCTTTGATGTTGTTAATATGGCATAGATCTCAGTTCACTCATGTATAGTGTTGTTTACTTACATTGATATTTTAGCCACCTACTTTTCATTATCGGGTGAGGTGTGGGCTACTGTAATATAAATCCTTCATTTGGCCTAATGATGGGTGATCTTTAATCATGAGGCCAAATGACGTCATAGCAGATTTACATGCTAACATATTACAATTGACATCTGACAGTATTTGTTAATTTGTCAATTATCTCCCTATGCTGTGATGTAGCATTTGCTCATTCCCTCTGCCCACCGGACTGTTCCCCAGACTGATCCCCCAGAGTGCCCACCGGACTGATCCCCTAACTGTTCCCCAGACTGATCCCCCAGACTGATCCCCCAGAGTGCCCACCGGACTGATCCCCTAACTGTTCCCCAGACTGATCCCCCAGAGTGCCCACCGGACTGATCCCCTAACTGTTCCCCCCAGACTGATCCCCCAGACTGATCCCCCAGAGTGCCCAGAGTGCTGATCCCCCGGACTGATCCCCTAACTGTTCCCCAGACTGATCCCCAGAGTGCCCACACCGGACTGATCCCCTAACTGTTCCCCCAGACTGATCCCCAAACTGATCCCCAGAGTGCCCACCGGACTGATCCCCTAACTGTTCCCCAGACTGATCCCCCAGAGTGCCCACCGGACTGATCCCCTAACTGTTCCACAGACTGATCCCCAGAGTGCCCACCGGACTGTTCCCCTAACTGTTCCCCAGACTGATCCCCCAGAGTGCCCCTAACTGTTCCCCAGACTGTTCCCCAGACTGATCCCCCAGAGTGCCCACCGGACTGATCCCCTAACTGTTCCACAGACTGATCCCCCAGAGTGCCCACCGGACTGATCCCCTAACTGTTCCCCAGACTGTTCCCCAGACTGATCCCCCAGAGTGCCCACCGGACTGATCCCCTAACTGTTCCCCAGACTGATCCCCCAGAGTGCCCACCGGACTGACCCCACAACTGACCACCGTAGTGTTTCTGTATACATGTCAACCCTGGATTACTTGCTTGTGTTGCAGACGATCAGATCGACAGCTATTCTCTGCTGCGCTGGTGTCAGCGGGTACTCAACACGGGCAGGTTCCGCAACGTTCATGTGGTGGACTTTGCCGGATCATGGAGGAACGGCCTTGCATTCTGTGCCTTAATACACGCCTTCCGACCCACACTGCTGTAAGTAGCCGCCACACCAACACAGTCATCCATCTTGTTACTGCGAACTATCAACACCTTTTTGATATTGATCTTTTGATGTTTTTTTTAACCTTTCAAAATGGTGCCTCCAGCATGAAGTAATCATGTATTTTGGAGCTAGTTGTCTTATTTTGACTCTTACAGTTTCCAGAAGTTAGTATCATGTATCACCCAGACTCAATTATTTACAGACTGCCGTCATACAACTGAAATATTGCTTAGTGCAATCTTAACCAACAAGCAAGTCATCATGTATCATGTTGAAGTGCATGAGTGTTCTCAGTGTTGAGGAAGCTGGTAGATGCCCAAGTTTATGACAAATGTCATTTTTAACATCTGTACCTTCAGTACCTGATCAAGCTTGTGGTGTACACATGTTTACTTGTATGTTGTAGTGACTTCAATCTCTTGATGGAGAGTGATGTGGCCAAGAATAACCAGCTGGTAAGTTTTATGTAAATTTACAATTCATTAGAAAATACTACCAATAATATGTGTCAAGTCAATCATAGTGGCAATTGTAAATAGAACACTGGTTGTGTCCCATAGGCCTTTGATGTCGCTGAGAAGGAACTAGGCGTGCCCCCGGTGATGACAGGCGATGACATGGCCAAGTCCCAAATCCCTGACAAGCTGACGCTGGTGTCCTACATCTCACAGCTGTACGCCATCTTCCGCAAGGAGCCACTGCCCACAGGTGAGTACCGCATGCTCAGTTATGAACTACGTGGGATTTGGTCCTCAGCACTCCGCGCTTGTCATAAGAGACGACTTATGGGTTCAGTATCTTTACCTTTTACCGTTTCTGGTATTGTACAGTAATTCATTCTTCACGTGTGTGTCTGATCAGTTAATTATTTTGAGGAGGGGGCATCTCCTTTTTCTAGTCTATGTGCATAGACTTTTTCTGCACTAATGAATGTGATGACCTCAAGATACTAACCTTTACCTGCTTTGCATGAAATCTTGCATGAGCTTTTCTTTTTAACTTTGCCAGTTGACGCAAACTTGATATTCTGTCAGCAAACTGGTTGTTATGTCCTCATGGCAGCAACAGAAGATGGCCAGCTCAGTGCCATCAGACTGGAAGACAATCCTTTCTACGGCGTCAGTCTAGCCGGAGTCAGCAACCAGCCGCCATGTCCCGTGCCGCGGGCAGACAGTCAGCTGAGTTACGACAGACCGGGAATCCCTGAGTGGGTGAAGTTTGTGGCCAGTCAGACCTCCATGTCCGAAGATTCCAGCGTCAGCGAAACCGAGTCTGAAGGCACTACAGCTGACGGTAGTATCACAATCTGGAAGAAGAGTGGTCGAAGAAAGATGGACAGCTCCAACAGCTCTGATGATGAGCTGAAGAAACCAGCTGACAAGACATACGTGGTGGACTGGGTGAGCAGAAGTTCCACAAGCTGGAGTGACAATTCCGATTCTACTGGGACTGATGATGAAGAGAAAAAGCCACTCAGTGTTAAGGCCTTGGCCAGGTTTTATGATGGACCCAGAGGATATCCAGTGTCACATCGGCCAAGAAGCCACAAGGTTTCAGCTAAGGGAGTGGTAAAACCTGTCAATGTTGAAACGTCATCTGATGTTGTGGCCAACTTGTCTGAGACCCAGATAGGGAATGAGGCAGTTATTCTTGATGACAGTGCATTCAAGACATTCACTCAGGAGGACATGGATCAGTCTAACCCAGAGTGTACCATTGAGGGCACTCGACTGACAGGGGAGGACCTCTATAATACTCTGACACAAGGAGATGACTTAACACTTGCCCCATCTTCTGTCAAAGAAGCAAGTTCAGGTGATATGACTGTCCAAAAGACAGAAGATGTACAGGAAGCTAAGACAGAGAGTACAGATAATGCCCAGTCTGTCAGTATCGATCTGGAGGAGGAATGTTCTGATGAAGCTGGGACTGTACAGAGACAGGTAGATATGGTTATGCCACACACTTACATTGATAGTCAGCCCCCTAATCCTGCTCCACTAGAGTATACAAGTTCCTGCATCGAGGATTGTTCAGGTGAAACTGTTGCTCTGAAGACAGAAGTTACATCTGATGTTGATATGCAGGAAATTAAGGCTCATGGTGATCCTTCCAATGCAGCTCCACTGCCAAGTATCAATATTCCCATAGAGGAAGATGTTGATGTGTGCAAATCCAACACCAAATCTTCAGAGGATGAAAAGATGGCACCAAATGATGTCAAAGCTGGCAAAAGGATGTTTGTTGGTGATGATAACATCCCTTCTGAGGAAGGAGGGGACGATGCGGATGTGGACTCCTCAGACGAGGAGACAGTTGTTCCGCTTGACGTTAAGTCCCTAAAAAAGAAGTTTTCTAGGATTGCAAGTACAACACATGAAGAAACAATACATGTTAAAAGGAGAGCTAAGAGTAGTTCTCAACAAGCTGATGTCATAGGGCCGAATGTTGACAGTAAGGTTCGTCGGTACCTGCACTAGTACACTGGAGGGAAGGTAGCATTGCCAGGTCTTGCTCCCAGCCTTGAGTCATCCACAGATGACCTGGTTGAGGTGTCAAAAGAAAAGTACTCTAGTTCTGAATTCAGAAATCTAGGAGCCACTCAGTCTACAGAACAAAATATAATACCAGAGACACGCTCATCCACCAGTAACACACCATCGGCTTTTGTAGAAAATACACATCTGAATATTGAACAAAGATCAGAAAAAGATCAGTTAGGAGGAAGTAGTGATGTAGAATCTGCTTCCATCAACTTCACAGCTTCTAAGAGAAAATTCACAGAAGCATCCGAGAAAGAGATCAAGAAGGTGGATCGCAGGAGTTCTTTCCGATCTCCCCAGTATCTTCAGGGGAGGAGCTACATGGACATATTGAAGGAAAGCCACCCACAGGGTGCTGAGAAGATTGCTCTAGGACATGGAGGGAGGAAGGCAGATGGTGTCGGTGGTGACAGGAAGGCAAGCAAGGGTCAAACACTGGATCAGACGCGTATTGAAGGAGGTGGATCAGAAACGCAGACCACACACATAAAAGTTGAATCAGACACACAACCACAGGATGGAGACGATGATGGGAAATTAGAGTTTATCATTCCAGGTGAATATAGTGAGCCAGGTGTTGTTGAATTGGGTGGAACATTCTTACAGCTTCAGACTGAATCATCAACTGATGTTGTAACAACAGTAACCAGGGATTCAGCTACAGTTGCAGAAGTAGATGCAGCTGGAGACCAAGAACCCTGTGTGAAGCAGACCAAAGATGAAAGTGAACACATTGAGAGTAAGACTGATACAAGTGATGAAGATACTGAGGACTCGTTCTATGATGCAGGAGAGTTTACAACGCGTGACGAGGTTGACACCACGTGCTGTGAGGCATTGTACCAGACAGCCTGTGAAGCACCTCCAGATGAGGTGCCGGAGTTTACACACGATACATTGTTTGATGATGATGTTTTTGCCACAGCGGTAGGTACCCAGCTAGCTTCGCAGCTGAAACATGTGTCTGTGTCTGAAGACATGGAGTGTTAAAAGAATGAAAGAACGCACTCATCTGACAGTTCAAAGAAGGGAGGATCTTGTTCATACCACAGATCATGTTGTGTAGCATAATGATGCTGTGTCAATAATATTTATATATAGTGCTAGCGGGAATGAGGCTTTAATCCCATATGACAAAATACAGCTTCATTTTCGTTTTCGGATGTACTTTCAACATAGCCAAGTTTGTGTGAAAGTTAATCCAACCTTATGATCGGCAGAATTGTTGGACTAGTAATCTGCTTATTCACTGATTAGCAGGACTGATGGACTAGTACTGATCCACTGATCAAAGATTAGTGTGTGGTTCTGTAAATGCAGTTTGGTTGTGGCGAGATATCCATGTTGTGTGATGGGTGAAGGAATTGGGTGATCTTTTTCCTTTGAAATTATCCATGCTGTTTCCACCCAAGTTCCTGCTCAATTTGTGCTACAACTTAGTCAAGCCAAAATGTCTCCCTGATGCACCTTCATTCAAAAGTGACTTAATATCTGACCTGAGCACTAATGGTGGGTATTAGGTTTAGAATATAGAGATATGTTCAGCCTTCAACTAAACATTATTTGAGAAGATTTAAAGTACCACAAGCTGGAACAGTGTTCCTGGTGGGTTAGCCTGGGGGAAGGAAGATTGAAAAAGATCACCCATACAATCTTCAGCTTTCCTCCAATGCTCCATAATGGTAATGACATGTTTATAGTTCTAGACTTGGCATGTCTTGGGTCGATTTGTCCCCGACACGACTTTCGTCACTGTGTATTTGTGTCAGAATAGACAACTGACTTGCAGTACTATCATATTACAGCCACATGTCTGTCGTGTCACACATTTAATGTATCTACTTTTTCTGTTGGTTTACTGATATAACTGAATCCCAAAGCAATTATCCGAGAAAACAGTAATTCAAATTCAAATCTGTTTTTATTACAAAGGCTGTTTTGTCTTTGTTATATTGAAAAAAATATGAGAATACAAAATTAAAACGGCACACATGGCAATATCAAACAAATTATGAGTAAATATTCACCTTTCATTGTAATGATGACATATATTGTGTTTAGTCTCTGCCACTGCAGGCTGAAATAGAGAGACATGTGGACCTGTAGCCTCTAATGTTTAGGCAAGGCTGCTACTAGGGTTTGTCTGTAGACATTGGGATGATGTCCCCTGGAAGATGATGGCAAGCAGATCTGCTAATTCCTGCAGGGAATAACCACTACAGAATATGTTGTTTAATTTTTCCTAAAGCGTAGTAAGAGCAAGATTTAGGATGCCGTGTGTGTGATGCTGATACCAAGGGGTTGTATGTATCACAGACAAACACTGGACTCGATGTCAGTGTACTGGTGTCTGGTGGAATATACAGAACTCACGGTGCATTGTCACATGGTACTTAACAGTGTAGGATTCCATCATCATGGAGAAGCCTGACAACATAATGGCAGGGGATTCTTGACTAGAATAGGTCCCCAACAACTGCCAGCAGTCAGAAGTGACCAAACGGATTGCATGGTCAGGCGACAAGGTGACCATTGCATTGATTGTAATATCACTGGTTTGTCTGGCCCAGTCTCAGGTGTTCACAATCTGCCATCTTGTAAGTTGAATGTTGCTGAGCATGGCATTAGCTAACACACCAACCAGGACAAACAAACACAGTCGAGTCAGGTCAGCTGATGTGTCCTGCTGCTTGTTCCTATGCTTTAGATGGTGGTAGGTTAAACGATGGCTTTGCATGTATATTTTTCATATAGTTTACAGAGGATGGTGTGGCTTTCAGTTAGCATAATTTGCAATGAGCTGTTAAGTTTTTTTGCATTTACATTTATATTGATATATACAGATGCATGCAGGTCAGTGTTAGGCATGGTTTTAATTTTTTATATATGTTTTTTAGCTTTTGTAGGCATTTTATCATGGCAGGTGCTGGTCTGCCTAGGTTAGCACAGTGTTGATTGTTTCCTTCTACACCACATGTACCTTTGTATGTATTGTTCAAGTTTTTGTTGATTACTTTTTGAAAGACTGTGATTGGCAATAAAATGTGATATTTGTGACAGTGTGTTTGTGTTGTTTATGGTGGGACTATAGGATTCATTACCAGCCAAATACACAAGGTTCTCAGTGTGCTGGTCCGGGGACTAACATCAGTAGACTAAAGTTATAAGTGTACTGTTGACTGAGATATTTATAGCCTAATGTTGGCTACTCAAGAACCCAAGGCAACATATACTCAACAACACCCTTACATCCAAAATTGTGGTAAAATATTCATAATAACACCCATTATAAAATCCATCACACCCTAGAATCAAATGCTAGGTAATGCCCTTACATTATACACTCAGTAACTCCCTTGTGTCAAATAGTCACGAGTAACACTCTGTCATCAAATACTTAAAATATGACATCCATCATCAAGGTCAGAGTAACACTCTGTCATCAAATACTTAAAATATGACATCCATCATCAAGGTCAGAGTAACACTCTGTCATCAAATACTTAAAATATGACATCCATCATCAAGGGCAGAGTAGCACCTAGGGATCAAATACTTAAAATATGACATCCATCATCAAGGGCAGAGTAGCACCTAGGGATCAAATACTTAAAATATGACATCCATCATCAAGGTCAGAGTAGCACCTAGGGATCAAATACTTAAAATATGACATCCATCATCAAGGGCAGAGTAGCTCCTAGGGATCAAATACTTAAAATTTGACATCCATCATCAAGGGCAGAGTAGCTCCTAGGGATCAAATACTTAAAATATGACATCCATCATCAAGGGCAGAGTAGCTCCTAGGGATCAAATGCTTAAAATATGACATCCATCATCAAGGGCAGAGTAGCTCCTAGGGATCAAATACTTAAAATATGACATCCATCATCAAGGGCAGAGTAGCTCCTAGGATCAAATACTTAAAATATGACATCCATCATCAAGGGCAGAGTAGCTCCTAGGGATCAAATACTTAAAATATGACATCCATCATCAAGGGCAGAGTAGCACCTAGGGATCAAATACTTAAAACAAGACATCCATCATCAAGGGCAGAGTAGCACCTAGGGATAAAATACTTAAAATAAGACATCCATCATCAAGGGCAGAGTAGCTCCTAGGGATCAAATACTTAAAATATGACATCTATCATCAGGGGCAGAGTAGATCCTAGGGATCAAATACTTAAAATATGACATCCATCATCAAGGGCAGAGTAGCTCCTAGGGATCAAATACTTAAAATATGACATCCATCATCAAGGGCAGAGTAGCTCCTAGGGATCAAATACTTAAAATAGGACATCCATCATCAAGGGCAGAGTAGCACCTAGGGATCAAATACTTAAAACAAGACATCCATCATCAAGGGCAGAGTAGCACCTAGGGATCAAATACTTAAAATAAGACATCCATCATCAAGGGCAGAGTAGCTCCTAGGGATCAAATACTTAAAATATGACATCCATCATCAAGGGCAGAGTAGATCCTAGGGATCAAATACTTAAAATATGACATCCATCATCAAGGGCAGAGTAGCACCTAGGGATCAAATACTTAAAATATGACATCCATCATCAAGGGCAGAGTAGCACCTAGGGATCAAATACTTAAAATATGACATCCATCATCAAGGGCAGAGTAGCACCTAGGGATCAAATACTTAAAATATGACATCCATCATCAAGGTCAGAGTAACACTCTGTCATCAAATACTTAAAATATGACATCCATCATCAAGGGCAGAGTAGCACCTAGGGATCAAATACTTAAAATATGACATCCATCATCAAGGGCAGAGTAGCACCTAGGGATCAAATACTTAAAATATGACATCCATCATCAAGGTCAGAGTAACACTCTGTCATCAAATACTTAAAATATGACATCCATCATCAAGGGCAGAGTAGCACCTAGGGATCAAATACTTAAAATATGACATCCATCATCAAGGGCAGAGTAGCACCTAGGGATCAAATACTTAAAATATGACATCCATCATCAAGGTCAGAGTAGCACCTAGGGATCAAATACTTAAAATATGACATCCATCATCAAGGGCAGAGTAGCACCTAGGGATCAAATACTTGATAACATCCTGGCAGCAAATATCCACTAACAACCATCATCAAATGCTCAATAACACCCGTCGCCATATAGCTGGAATATTGCTGAGTGCGACGTAAAACTAAACTCACTCACTCACTCACTCACTCAATAACACCATTCTAGTAGACAACACCCTGGTGTGAAATACCCAGTAACACCCAGGCATTGAATAGTGAATACAGGAATGGCAATTTTCTGCAATTTTATTTCAAATTGATCATTTCAAATCCCATTCCATGACACAATGTTAAGTTTTCAGTCAAATATAGATTTTCCTGTTGCCATGCCTGTGAATAACACCTAACAAATTCTCAATAACACTCTGGAACAGATGCTCATTGACACCTGTCTTCCAGTTATCACTTCTGCTCGTAGATATGAAATAAACACATGAGTGGACACAGCAGGTGTTCTGCTGTCATGGCAGCATGTGTCATACAATCCATCTATGTTGCTAAACCAGAAAACCAGAAATGTATTTGCATTGTAACACCTTATCTGATGAAAACACTTTTAATTTTATGCTCCATATATTCAGTGTTAAGTACCGGTATGTATATGCCCTCCCTGCTATTGTAATTCCTCGTGAATACCTACTATAGTTACCCAGTCTTATGTCTGATAGAGGACTGTTAATGTCAGACTGATCCATACAGCTACGTGCTTGAAGTCACTGCATGACACTGTCACTTGGTGGCGATGGTATCAGTGGTGTATAAAATACATTCCTCGCCTTTGTTGACACAACACACTTTCCAGGGAGCGCCTGTCTGTAGTTGTTCAAGGTTAGATAACTGTGATACGGCTTTATATCAACCTGATTCTCAGGAAAGAAAGCAGTGAATGATATACAGATATGTCAAGCATGTCTGAGATATGATGGCCCTTTGTGATGGAAATAGACTTCACGTATTTGTAAAGTAGGGGGCCCCAATAATAGGATGGCGGGGTAATCAAGTTGTATAAGACACGCCCTGCATTGAGTAACAGCTCTGGGAGTGACTGAAGGTGACTGGAAGTCTGTCACTGTATTGTATCTCCCACTGTTATTTATTCAGTGGAGAGGCCAATATTGCGAAAAAACATTTTCAGTATTGGAAACAACATTTTCAGTATTGCAATGGGTCATTCACAACTCTGACAGTGTTATTGTTCAAGAAATCCCTGTGAGATTCTGGGTTTTCGTCTGTCCCAGCAACATAAGCTGGTCCTAATGGGCGAGATAATGAATCCTGTGAGATTGTGGGTTTTAGTCTGTCCCATCAACATAAGCTGGTCCTAATGGGCGAGATAATGAATCCTGTGGTCAGGCTGTGGGACATACCGGCAGTTGATTGGAGACATGCATGGATCATTGCTCAATCACTGGATTGTCATGTCCAGACATGACTATTTAAAGGCCCTCACCTTATTGTTGGAATTTTGTTAGCAATATTAGAAAACCAATAAACCATTTTGCAATTACTTCACACCTATGCCTCTCAAAAAAGTTACCATGAAATATATTTGATTACTTCATACATCCCTGTTGGTGAGTTACACTGGTTCACTTGTGGGTCCAGTCCTGTGGAGCTGACCCAGAAGTCCTGTAGCCTGACCTTAGGCTGAGGCTCTGGAAAGCTTTGGCCCTGGTTCAGTCTGTTCCAGTAAGTCCTGGGCAATATGTCCCTCTTCAGTTATTTCCCTTTAGTGGTGAGAACTCTTGCAATTATTGATTGGTGTTAGGCACAAGTATTGCATCAGATGAACAACTGCTGCCTGTTGTTGCTCTAATTCTGATCACCAGACAATCGTCGGTGCTTGCTTCCTCAACCAACTCTTTTTATTCATCAGATTGTTGATTCCATTAAAAATTAGTCCATCCATGTACACCTTTGATTGTCCACCTTGAGAAGCCATGCCTTGAACGTTCAGTCAGTGTGAGACAGTTTTATATGTGTCTCATTGTTTGGAGCAGTATTTCAATAGTTGTGATAAAATACTCAACTATTTGATATGGACTGCTTTAGGTTTCGTGAATTGTGTGCTAGTTTGCATGTTGAAAACTGCTTAATACTATTCTGTGGAGGGCGGTGGGGTAGCCTAGTGGTTAAGGCGTTCGCTCGTCACTCCGAAGACCAGGGTTCAATTCCCCACATGGGCACAATATGTGAAGCCCATTTCTGGTGTCCTCCACCGTGATATTGCTGGAATATTGCTAAACGCGGCGTAAAGCTAAACTCACTCACTCACTATTCTTTGGTCAGACACACACGTCGTTCTCCAGGGTTTAAACTCCAATTTACATGTCCTCATTCAAATAGAATATGTATAATATTAATGATTCTGTTTTGGTTTTACAACACACTTTCAGTAGTTCACAAATTATTATGATATGATATGATAACTATTATATGATATGAAATTATGGTATGATATTATTCATTATCCGTGATATTATCTTCCAGTGACGGTGCAGGTTCAGCGACGCCACCATGCAGAGCCGTCACCAAAGAGCCTCCGTTCCCCGAGTCGCAAGATCTCCCTGCTGCATCGACTGTCGAACCGTTTTTCGAAGACCAAGAGGGTCAGTGCCACCCCGGGGAAACTGGTCGGTACATCTGCTCACGCCTCATGTGTGCACTGTCCTCTGTTCAGCCGCATGTGCCTCGTGTGCCAGATGTCCTCACCTCTCTCTGACACCTCCTTCCCCACTGCCAGGCGGACATAGAATAAGTTAACTTGGAGCTTATTACAGAATCTGGGAAATTATTGTTTCGGGTTAATGCCTTATATTAACTTTAAGGCCCAAAACTTTATTATCAGGAGCATTTGGCAGATGAATTTATATGTTGGTTGTTTTTCCCTCTTCCAAGGTAGGGGGGTAGCGGTGGGGTCGCATAGTGGTTAAAGCGTTCGCTCGTCACACCGAAGGCCTGGGTTTGATTCCCCACATGGGTACAATGTAGTACTCAGCCATGTTGATTTAATCGCCGCCTCAATCTTCACGCTCGGACACGATGTTTAATGCGAAAATACATACATGAAGCATTTTGTCACAGGTCATAACCAAGCACGATACATCCAATAAGTTCCATAATTTTACGTATAGGTAGCGATTTCTTGCTTAATATGTTCAGAATACCATTATTTTACCCAAAACTTTTGTCTAAATCTAAAGGTTTTCGTTTACGAGGACGATATCCATTGCTGTAATATGATTGGCTGCCTTAGGTCACGTGTCTGATTTTGACCAATGACGACCCTTATAGCAGACTGTGGCGAAAAAGCGTCATTAGAAACCAATTTTATCCAATAAAATCGCTTCTTACAACTGTGAAAATACTTTGACAAGGGTACAGTGATATTGTTGATGTTCAGAGCTTTCGAACGATGCCCGACATCAAACGATTTGCCGCGTATGTTATTCATAACGAAGCTTCGAAAACGGAGGTATTTTCAGTTGTTATGTCATTTTACCGAGCGGAAAGCCACAGATATCGGGAAATAGGCGACCATACATATTGTTTAAGAAATCTTTTATAATAATTTTCTGATTACGTAAAGATGAAAATATAAAAGAAAAAGGCACGGGCATATTGTGACATGTCACAAATGGAAAAAATCGCCATAGTTTTTGCTCCTTTCGTGGTTTATCTGGACGTTATAAATGTAAGCTTGCATTTTCATTCAAATATAAATTTATTTAAGTTGTAGTTGTATAAATTTAATAATATTATAAAAATAAACTTCATATTTATCAACAGTAGGATTAGATCTTTTAAATTGTGTATGGGATGTAGTAGCAATAACGTTTTACAAGCTTATAATTTCCTTCATAAACATAGGCTTCATCTATGACCTCAGAGTCTCTGGGAACTCGGTGTCATGGCAGTAAATGCCTCTGGTTGACTGGTGTTGAAAGAGTTAATTATGAGTGATGTAAGACTACTGACAATGCTACAAGGAGACTCTGTGCAGGGACAAGTAGTATACAGGACCTAGGGGTAATTAGGAGGACCTGGGGACATGTCGACCGTCATATTTAGCAAAATTTGAACAAGTTTCACACAGCAAAATCAATCTTACCATAACTAGCACAGATTAGATTGGTCTGGTTCACAAGGTCCACACATCGAAATCATACAGCAAGGGTTTGAATATTTTCAGCGACTCCAGGGAGAAGGTAGTTGTAATTTATAATCAGAAGTAACTAACCAACGCCTTGAAGATCAGCATGCATGTACTAGTGCTTGATTTGTCGTGCTACACAGTCCTGTCTCTGTAGTGTGTTCATGTAATGGTACAGACCTCACCCCCTGTATACACCCTCAATAAGCTACACAGTCCCATCTCTGTAGTGTGTTCATGTAATGGTACAGACATCACCCCCTGTATACACCCTCAATAAGCTACACAGTCCCATCTCTGTAGTGTGTTCATGTAATGGTACAGACATCACCCCTGTATACACCCCTCAATAAGCTACACAGTCCCATCTCTGTAGTGTGTTCATGTAATGGTACAGACATCACCCCCTGTATACACCCCTCAATAAGCTACACAGTCCCATCTCTGTAGTGTGTTCATGTAATGGTACAGACATCACACCCCTGTATACCCCCTCAATAGAGCTACACAGTCCCATCTCTGTAGTGTGTTCATGTAATGGTACAGACATCACCCCCTGTATACACCCTCAATAAGCTACACAGTCCCATCTCTGTAGTGTGTTCATGTAATGGTACAGACATCACCCCCTGTATACACCCTCAATAAGCTACACAGTCCCATCTCTGTAGTGTGTTCATGTAATGGTACAGACATCACCCCCTGTATACAGTCCCCCTGTAGTGTGTTCATGTAATGGTACAGACATCATCCCCCTGTATACCCTACACAGTCCCATCTCTGTAGTGTGTTCATGTAATGGTACAGACATCATCCCCCTGTATACACCCTCATAAGCTACACAGTCCCATCTCTGTAGTGTGTGTTCATGTAATGGTACAGACATCACCCCCTGTATACACCCTCAATAAGCTACACAGTCCCATCTCTGTAGTGTGTTCATGTAATGGTACAGACATCACCCCCTGTACATATAACCATCTCTCAATAAGCTACCCTCAATAACAGTCCCATCTCTGTAGTGTGTTCATGTAATGGTACAGACCTCACCCCCTGTATACACCCCTCAATAAGCTACACAGTCCCATCTCTGTGGTGTGTTCATGTAATGGTACAGACATCACCCCTGTATACACCCTCAATAAGCTACACAGTCCCATCTCTGTAGTGTGTTCATGTAATGGTACAGACATCACCCCTGTATACACCCTCAATAAGCTACACAGTCCCATCTCTGTAGTGTGTTCATGTAATGGTACAGACATCATCCCCCTGTATACACCCCTCAATAAGCTACACAGTCCCATCTCTGTAGTGTGTTCATGTAATGGTACAGACATCATCCCCCTGTATACACCCTCAATAAGCTACACAGTCCCATCTCTGTAGTGTGTTCATGTAATGGTACAGACATCACCCCCTGTATACCCCCTCAATAAGCTACACAGTCCCATCTCTGTAGTGTGTTCATGTAATGGTACAGACATCACCCCCTGTATACACCCCTCAATAAGAGACACAGTCCCATCTCTGTAGTGTGTTCATGTAATGGTACAGACATCACCCCCTGTATACACCCTCAATAAGCTACACAGTCCCATCTCTGTAGTGTGTTCATGTAATGGTACAGACATCACCCCCCTGTATACACCCTCAATAAGCTACACAGTCCCATCTCTGTAGTGTGTTCATGTAATGGTACAGACATCACCCCCTGTATACACCCTCAATAAGCTACACAGTCCCATCTCTGTAGTGTGTTCATGTAATGGTACAGACATCACCCCCTGTATACACCCTCAATAAGCTACACAGTCCCATCTCTGTGTGTGTGTTCATGTAATGGTACAGACATCACCCCCTGTATACACCCTCAATAAGCTACACAGTCCCATCTCTGTAGTGTGTTCATGTAATGGTACAGACATCACCCCTGTATACACCCTCAATAAGCTACACAGTCCCATCTCTGTAGTGTGTTCATGTAATGGTACAGACATCATCCTCTGTATACCCCCTGTAAGCTACACAGTCCCATCTCTGTGGTGTGTTCATGTAATGGTACAGACTGTATCACCCTCCTGTATATCTCTGTAGGTGTTCATGTAATGGTACCTCACCCCCACACCCTCAAGCTACACAGTCCCATCTCTGTAGTGTGTGTTCATGTAATGGTACAGACCTCACCCCTGTATACACCCTCAATAAGCTACACAGTCCCATCTCTGTAGTGTGTTCATGTAATGGTACAGACATCATCCCCCTGTATACACCCTCAATAAGCTACACAGTCCCATCTCTGTAGTGTGTTCATGTAATGGTACAGACCTCACCCCTGTATACACCCCTCAATAAGCTACACAGTCCCATCTCTGTAGTGTGTTCATGTAATGGTACAGACATCACCCCCTGTATACACCCCTCAATAAGCTACACAGTCCCATCTCTGTAGTGTGTGTTCATGTAATGGTACAGACATCACCCCTGTATACACCCTCAATAAGCTACACAGTCCCATCTCTGTAGTGTGTTCATGTAATGGTACAGACATCATCCCCTGTATACACCCCTCAATAAGCTACACAGTCCCATCTCTGTAGTGTGTTCATGTAATGGTACAGACATCACCCCTGTATACACCTCAATAAGCTACACAGTCCCATCTCTGTAGTGTGTTCATGTAATGGTACAGACATCACTCCCCTGTATACCCCTCAATATCAAGTATACCCTCAATAAGCTTACACAGTCCCATCTCTGTAGTGTGTTCATGTAATGGTACAGACATCACCCCCTGTATACACCCCTCAATAAGCTACACAGTCCCATCTCTGTGGTGTGTTCATGTAATGGTACAGACATCACCCCTGTATACACCCTCAATAAGCTACACAGTCCCATCTCTGTAGTGTGTTCATGTAATGGTACAGACATCACCCCCTGTATACACCCTCAATAAGCTACACAGTCCCATCTCTGTAGTGTGTTCATGTAATGGTACAGACATCACCCCCTGTATACACCCTCAATAAGCTACACAGTCCCATCTCTGTGGTGTGTTCATGTAATGGTACAGACCTCACCCCTGTATACACCCCTCAATAAGCTACACAGTCCCATCTCTGTAGTGTGTTCATGTAATGGTACAGACATCACCCCCTGTATACAGTCCCCCTCAATAAGCTACACAGTCCCATCTCTGTAGTGTGTTCATGTAATGGTACAGACATCACCCCCTGTATACACCCTCAATAAGCTACACAGTCCCATCTCTGTAGTGTGTTCATGTAATGGTACAGACATCACCCCTGTATACACCCCTCAATAAGCTACACAGTCCCATCTCTGTAGTGTGTTCATGTAATGGTACAGACATCACCCCTGTATACACCCCTCAATAAGCTACACAGTCCCATCTCTGTAGTGTGTTCATGTAATGGTACAGACATCACCCCCTGTATACACCCCTCAATAAGCTACACAGTCCCATCTCTGTAGTGTGTTCATGTAATGGTACAGACATCACCCCCTGTATACACCCTCAATAAGCTACACAGTCCCATCTCTGTAGTGTGTTCATGTAATGGTACAGACATCACCCCTGTATACACCCTCAATAAGCTACACAGTCCCATCTCTGTAGTGTGTTCATGTAATGGTACAGACATCACCCCCTGTATACACCCTCAATAAGCTACACAGTCCCATCTCTGTGGTGTGTTCATGTAATGGTACAGACATCACCCCCTGTATACACCCTCAATAAGCTACACAGTCCCATCTCTGTAGTGTGTTCATGTAATGGTACAGACATCACCCCCTGTATACACCCCTCAATAAGCTACACAGTCCCATCTCTGTAGTGTGTTCATGTAATGGTACAGACATCACCCCCTGTATACACCCTCAATAAGCTACACAGTCCCATCTCTGTAGTGTGTTCATGTAATGGTACAGACATCACCCCCTGTATACACCCTCAATAAGAGACACAGTCCCATCTCTGTAGTGTGTTCATGTAATGGTACAGACATCACCCCCTGTATACACCCTCAATAAGCTACACAGTCCCATCTCTGTAGTGTGTTCATGTAATGGTACAGACATCACCCCCTGTATACAGTCCCCTCAATGTAATAAGACACAGTCCCATCTCTGTAGTGTGTTCATGTAATGGTACAGACATCACCCCCTGTATACACCCTCAATAAGCTACACAGTCCCATCTCTGTAGTGTGTTCATGTAATGGTACAGACATCACCCCCTGTATACACCCCTCAATAAGCTACACAGTCCCATCTCTGTAGTGTGTTCATGTAATGGTACAGACATCACCCCCTGTATACACCCTCAATAAGCTACACAGTCCCATCTCTGTAGTGTGTTCATGTAATGGTACAGACATCACCCCCTGTATACACCCTCAATAAGCTACACAGTCCCATCTCTGTGGTGTGTGTCCCATGTAATGGTACAGACCTCACCCCCTGTATACACCCTCAATAAGCTACACAGTCCCATCTCTGTAGTGTGTTCATGTAATGGTACAGACATCACCCCTGTATACACCCTCAATAAGCTACACAGTCCCATCTCTGTAGTGTGTTCATGTAATGGTACAGACATCACCCCCTGTATACACCCTCAATAAGCTACACAGTCCCATCTCTGTAGTGTGTTCATGTAATGGTACAGACATCACCCCCTGTATACACCCTCAATAAGCTACACAGTCCCATCTCTGTAGTGTTCATGTAATGGTACAGACATCACCCCTGTATACACCCTCAATAAGCTACACAGTCCCATCTCTGTAGTGTGTTCATGTAATGGTACAGACATCACCCCCTGTATACACCCCCTCAATAAGCTACACAGTCCCATCTCTGTAGTGTGTTCATGTAATGGTACAGACATCACCCCCTGTATACACCCTCAATAAGCTACACAGTCCCATCTCTGTAGTGTGTTCATGTAATGGTACAGACATCATCACCCCCTGTATACACCCTCAATAAGCTACACAGTCCCATCTCTGTAGTGTGTTCATGTAATGGTACAGACATCATCACCCCTGTATACACCCTCAATAAGCTACACAGTCCCATCTCTGTAGTGTGTTCATGTAATGGTACAGACATCACCCCTGTATACACTCCCCTCAATAAGCTACACAGTCCCATCTCTGTAGTGTGTTCATGTAATGGTACAGACATCACCCCCTGTATACACCCTCAATAAGCTACACAGTCCCATCTCTGTAGTGTGTTCATGTAATGGTACAGACATCACCCCTGTATACACCCTCAATAAGCTACACAGTCCCATCTCTGTGGTGTGTTCATGTAATGGTACAGACATCACCCCCTGTATACACCCTCAATAAGCTACACAGTCCCATCTCTGTAGTGTGTTCATGTAATGGTACAGACATCACCCCTGTATACACCCTCAATAAGCTACACAGTCCCATCTCTGTAGTGTGTTCATGTAATGGTACAGACATCACCCCCTGTATACACACGTCCCCCTCAATAAGCTACACAGTCCCATCTCACACTCCCATCTCTGTGTGTTCATGTAATGGTACAGACATCACCCCTGTATACACCCCCTCAATAAGCTACACAGTCCCATCTCTGTAGTGTGTTCATGTAATGGTACAGACCTCACCCCCCTGTATACACCCTCAATAAGCTACACAGTCCCATCTCTGTAGTGTGTTCATGTAATGGTACAGACCTCACCCCTGTATACACCCTCAATAAGCTACACAGTCCCATCTCTGTAGTGTGTTCATGTAATGGTACAGACCTCACCCCTGTATACACCCTCAATAAGCTACACAGTCCCATCTCTGTAGTGTGTTCATGTAATGGTACAGACCTCACCCCTGTATACACCCTCAATAAGCTACACAGTCCCATCACTGTAGTGTGTTCATGTAATGGTACAGACATCATCCCCTGTATACACCCTCAATAAGCTACACAGTCCCATCTCTGTAGTGTGTTCATGTAATGGTACAGACCTCACCCCTGTATACACCCTCAATAAGCTACACAGTCCCATCTCTGTGGTGTGTTCATGTAATGGTACAGTCATCACCCCCTGTGTACACCCTCAATAACCTAAAGCTGCTATGTGTGTGCCCTTGTTTTTCATTAACATTTAATTTATGTTTGATTTTGCAGACTTTGAGTAAAACACACAAATTATCATAAATATCCTTGCTTTTAATGAATAACAAGAAGCATATTTTTACTTAGGACCACTGAAATATATGTTACATGAAACTGAAGTATTTTTGGTTGGCTTTTCCAGAAAAAAGAGGTGTGTGATGCTGTTGACAGCAAGATGTTTGGCAAATCCAGCCAGAACATGGACATCATGGAGGTAAGTGCCTGTGGGAGTTCAGGGTAGCATCGGTCCCCAGCAACTTATTGTAGTCATGAGACACGACACATTGAATGTCTGAGCACAGTGATGTTGTTGATTGCATGTCATTGTTCCCCGCCGCAACGCAGAATGGGGGACTATGTATTCAGCAGTGTCAGTCCATGACAGCCTACATGGGGGGATTACGCAGTCACCAGTCGATTTTGAATTATATCGACAGCCTACAATTGGTGATTCAGGCATCTTGTATGTGACCAAGAATAGAAAGTAGTAAATATGTTATAAATATTCCATTCTTGTTTAGCGGCGGGGGACATTGCAATATTAGTGGGTAACACTTGTGCTCTGATCCGTGCTCACTACATCAAGCTGGAGTCTTGGGTCCAGACCGAACTATTCCATGACCGCTTCCATATAGCTGGAACCATACACCACAGTCCATCACTTCATCAGGAATATAATTAATGTTATGGTGGAGCCTGTTGGTGTCACGTGTCACCAACACTCAGCATGTCTCTAACCAAAGAGTGCTCTGTAACTTTAAATGGTTCCAGGAACTAGGTTACCATGGTTTCCGTGTATGAGTTGTTGATGTTGACATGTGTTGTGATGGCAGCGAGAGAGAGGCGTCGAGCTGACCAAGTACAGCAAGTTACCCATGGAAGAGATCGCCAACAAGCTGTTTGTGGATAAGAAGCCAGATGATCTGCCGAAGGGCAAGGACAACGTACAGAGTGGGGTCAGCGTGACTGCGATGGCCGAAATACTTGCATCCAAGTTCCGAGGGGAAGAACCTGCAGTACAGAAGAAAATGGTGAGCTTGGTACGATTGATGTAAGGTAGATCGCCTTGCTTGGGATATTGTGCTTCACAAGCTGGAGGAGGGATGTTAGTTTGGTGTTATACAAAGAAACTGAACTGTCATGTATGCTGTGTGAAGATAGATTGAAACACTGCTGAGAATGCAGTTGACTCAAGATTTAAAGTGGACAGTTGGGCGTTACAAGCCTTATTCTGTTATTCTGATCTAAGGGAAATATGGGTTGTAATTGATGCAGCAGATGGGGTAGGCAAGTGGCCTATGTAGAGCGTCCACATATTACGGACTTAATATGTAGCATTTGGACCATTTTGTACTGACTGTTTCCTGACCTGCATGATGGAATCGGTGCAATGAACCGAGGTCAAGGTACGCCATTACTTGCAGCTGGTGGGGTAGGCAAGTAGCTGTAGCTGAGTCGTTGATGCAGCTGGTGGGTAGAAGCTGAAGCTGAGTCGCTGATGCAGCTGGTAGCTGAAGCTGAGTCGCTGATGCAGCTGGTTGATGCAACTGGTGGGGTAGGCAGCTGTAGCTGAGTCGCTGATGCAGCTGGTGGGGTAGGCAAGAAGCTGGAAGCTGAAGCTGAGGATGATGCAGCTGGTGGGTAAGTAGCTGAAGCTAGTGCGCTGATGCAGCTGGTGGGGTAGGCAAGTAGCTGAAGCTGAGTCGCTGATGCAGCAGCTGAAGCTGAGTCGTTGATGCAGCTGGTGGGGTAGGCAAGTAGCTGAAGCTGAGTCGTTGATGCAGCTGGTGGGGTAGGCAAGTAGCTGAAGCTGATTCATTGATGCAGCTGGTGGGGTAGGCAAGTAGCTGAAGCTGAGTTGATGCAGCTGGTGGGTAGGCAAGAAGCTGAAGCTGAGCAGCTGGTGGGGTAGGGTAGCTGACGCTGAGTCGTTGATGCAGCTAGTGGGGTAGGCAAGTAGCTGTAGCTGATTCATTGATGCAGCTGCTTGGGTAGGCAAGTAGCTGAAGCTGAGTCGCTGTTGGGGTATGCAACTGGTGGGGTAGGCAAGTAGCTGAAGCTGAGTCGTTGATGCAGCTGGTGGGGTAGCTGCAGCTGCTTGAAGCAGCTGGAGCTGTTGAGTCGTTGATGCAGCTGGTGGGGTAGGCAAGTAGCTGCAGCTGAGTCGTTGATGCAGCTGGTGGGGTAGGCAAGTAGCTGTAGCTGATTCATTGATGCAGCTGGTGGGGTAGGCAAGTAGCTGAAGCTGAGTCTAACACACTCATGTGAATCGTCAACACAATACGGGCTGAATATTTAGAGTTCAGACCATTTTGTATTTACTGTTTCCAGACCTGCGTGACGGAATTGGTGCAATGAAACGCAGAGGTCAAGATACACCATTGACACTTTTTAAACGCCAAGAGTTTGTGATGTAATACTTTAAGCCATAGTTGTGTACTTCTTGTCTGAAGTCCAAAACTTGAAAAGGAAATTAGTGACGTGAACATGTCTGATAAGATGGCCTGACTGTGTGTTACAGAAGACACCAGGTGTTCTGGTGGCGGCCCAGCCGGAGAGTGAGTTCTGTGTGTTCTGCCTGAAGCGGGTCTACATTATGGAGAGGATGAGTGCAGAAGGGGTCTTCTTCCACCGTGGCTGTCTGCGCTGTGACTACTGCAACTCCAACCTCCGCCTCAACAACTACTCCTGTGAGAGGGAGATGGATGGAGAAGGTAGGGACTACTGTCTGCTCACGACAGATTCGGTGACAATATTCAGGTTCTCAATACAGGGACTTATCCAGGCGTCCCAACTATAATCTGTTTGGCTCGAAATGAGAACAATGAATTTCAAAATAACTAAAACTCTGACCATTTTGAGATATTGATTTTAGTTTTATGTTATTTTGTTCTATTCTATAGCGACATTTCGATGTAGATACTTATACCATTTTCAAGCATGAGGTTTTAACATGAATTGTGCAGTATGTAATTCCATCTTGTAAGTTCTTGCTAACGTTTGCTTTTGACTTTGAGACTGAATTTGAGCTTGAAGTGAGTTTTGATAAATCCCTGAAATTCTTTGATTATGAAAATGTATTCAGTGATATCATCATTGCGGGTTGTTTTGGGACTGGTTACATGATAGGCTGGGATCTACTTGAGATTATGGTGCAACCATCCTTCTTATTTCTGTATGGGTTGTAAACAGATGCCTCAGAAAGTATCCATGTTTGTTGACTGTGTTTAATCAGTGACTTCTTGTGTTTTCAGTGAAGTTCTACTGTTACCGCCATGCTAATGCTGACCAGAGAATACGCTTGAAGAGAAAGCGAATCATATACGATGATGATGGCTCTAAGGTATGATGATTGAGTCTGACATGGAGATAGGTGTGGTTGGGTGGTATCCACATTGCTGAAGCGTGGCTGCCTTTACACGCCGTTATGTTGATCTGTCTCTTTTCACAATACATATCTCTGTGAAATCACTGTGTCTTTATCAGTTTCTCAGTTTAATTTATTATTTTGAGATACTCATTTGTCAGGCTTTGTGTTCATGATCACGATACCTCATGACTGTCTGTAGTGTTTCCATGTTAACACCCCTCTCTCGCTGCAGGAGAACATCCCCACAGTGGTCACTATGTCCATGTCGAAGACTGGCAAGGACAGCGTCATCCTCCCGCCACAGAAGAAAGAAGAGACACCAAAGAAAGGATGTAAGTAGACGGACACAACATGGAACAGACACGTGTTCCTTCTTTAGATAGTGCTGTCGGGACAAGTGCCTTAGCCCTTAGCCGCTTATACACCTGTTACGAACCTCTTTTTTAATTTAGGGTACCATTGCCAGGATTTTTTGTGTTGTAAAGCCATTTGGCTGTGATTGACTTTATCCAGTTGCCAGGATCCTCTGTCCAGCAACATTTCTTAGGATTCAGTTAGGTCAGCTTGAGCAAGTTCATATGCTTCGATTATTTACTACTGAAAATAATGCCACAATTCTAACTCAGGATTGGGGATGCTGCACAGATATGTTAGGGAAATATAAACTGAAAATAATGCCACAATTCTAACTCAGGATTGAGCAGCTGAGCTGAGCTCGATATTGGCGCTATACAATATATATATATAAATACAATAATAAATAAAATAAAAATAATGTCTGCATGTAGATCTCTGTTTTACTTCCACAGCAGCTCTCAGCCCGCTGATGGTCCCTGAAGACCCATATGAGAAGGCAAAGAAGACCCCTGAACGTGTGGAGTTCGAGAACACCTTCGAGGGGTTGGAGGAAGAGTCGGAGGAGGAGCAGTTTGAGCACAACCTCCGTGCGTCGTTCTCCTCCGACATGCTCCTCGACGGTGAGGAGGAGTATGATGAGAGTGACACAGACTCTGAGTAAGTACAGCCGTACTTTGGTAGCATCACTTCTTGTTATCTGGGAAATAGGAACTCTTGGCCTCACTCTAGTTTATGGTTTAGAAATATGTTCCTTTATGTTCCAAGTATGTCGATTGAGGACGATCTGTTAAGAGGAATCTTGTACATCTCAGTAATTTTTTTTATTTTGGGTTGTTGGGTTGATCAGTTTAGTTGAAAAGAGTGAATGCTAATTCTCAATCAAAAACGGGATGGTTTATATATACAGTGAGATGCACCTGTATTCTGTCAGTAAAGGCTTTGATATCTCTTTGAGAGGTTTGCCGTGATTGGTCAGCTGTGTTAACTGTCAGCTATGATTGGTCATCTGTGTTAATTGTCAGCTATGATTGGTCAGCTGTTTTGCATGGAGTAGACATATCTTTTGATGAATCTATTTATTCTCTCTCACCTATCAAAGATAAGGTAATCAAGCACAGAGTAATTAAATATTATTTTGTATTTGGTTCCTGAGTTAAGTGTAAGGCTGTTGTCAGTAGAATATATAAATCAAACCGTGGACAAAGGGTTGCCTTTATAATGTATAATGTGCCCCAGTTGTACTCATTAGTCATATATGTGGGGAGCTGCGAAAATATGGAGGATCTATCATTCATATATCCAAATGTTTCTGTAGTGATGAATTAGTTCAAATTATTTCCTGTTGTATGTAACGAGGGTGACACTAGTCTGGGTTTTCTCTGGTTGGTTAACGCCATTCAGGGTTGATGATGTGATGGATTATGGGTGATGTGATTGGTTACATTACCAGTGAACTGCGGATGTTTGTGTTGCAGCAGTGATTACATAGATGACCAACAAATGGCTCACATTTTGTCTCAATGGTAATTTCATCTGGCTGCTGCCTTGAGCTGTACATGTTGTTTTTGAACTTTGATCTCTTTACGTGATGTATGTGTTTGTGCCGAGCCATGTCATTGTGATTCTTGTATGTGGAGTGTGCCAAAACATTTCATACCTAACCTCCATCATAGTCTCGCATAATGGGGATTTATTAACCATCACTGAAGGTTAGGTAGCGTCAGTAATTTAACACTCATATTGTAGATTTACTTGGGTCATTACGTTGTGTTGTTAATCCATTGCCAAGGTTGGAAAACTGGGATACAGTTTCAAATCACTTGTGTTTCTCCTGGTTTTAAGGGTGATCTAATCCACCAACTGTATCATTTGATGAGTAATTTATGTATTATGATAAAGCAGAAATGTATATGAGCAAATGAATTTTTGTTTTGATATAACAAAAAAAAAAATAGTATAGATTTGAAAAATGTCATATTGCTTAAGATGAGGAGGTTTCACTTTGATAATATTTCTATTTTTGTGCACCAGTCTCTGCCATACTGTTTTAAGCAGTAACTCCTATTGTGTATCAGATGAGGAAGTTATTCCAAAAACATTCCCTCTTTTTGTGTCAGTTTTATTATATATCACCACGAATAAGTGCAAAATTGCTGAAATGGCATTATGAAATAATTGCTGACTCAATTTACTACAAAAGTGAAGAAAAAACCTTTATCCATGACCGTATTATATTCTGTATGTGTGACTTGTATCCCAGGTTTCCTGTGTGTATCACTATCCTGGTCCCAGGAAGTTAGATAACTCTGTCATTCTTCATGAGCTTGTGTGGCGTGTGTAGCATGCACTGGTGTTCTGTTTACAGTATGCCGAGAAGCGTGCACATGTGAGTGAGCCAACCGCCATGTTACACCCACTATTTCAGTTTGCCTTGTTGTGTGATGGATGTTTATACAAGTTGATTTCTTTATCATTATTATCATTAGTTTAAGAAATTTGGCAAATGAGGCAGCACATGCTGGTGCATTGCTTGCCTGTATTCTAGCACACTGGAATGTCACTGGATAAATAGTTTGTTTATTTGTGGTTCTCAGGTTCAGATTTCGTCAGTAAAGCAGCATGACACAAGTTTCCTTGTTTTACAATAAAACACATAAGTTTTCAAGAACTACCACTCTGCACTAATTTGTCACAGGTAAATGCTTGAAAAGTGATAGATATCTGTTGCATCCTTGCTGTTGCACAAGTGACATGTTCATGTAATATTTTAAGTTTTTATGATTTTCAGTTTTGAACAATGATAAATGTGTGAATACTGCATTTGCCAAACTTCTTAATGTGACAATATGTACGTGAGGTTAGTTGCTGGGCCTGTGACCGGACCTGCAGTGGAAGCATCAGCATGATGGTGGTTGACCCGTCGAGGTCATGTGCATTTGGGTTCATGAATTAAATTATTTTGTGACCCATTCCATGCTTCCATTTGAAAAAGTCAGTCTATAAACAATCGGTATCACATCTAGACCATCATGTTTGTTGGGCACCGCTGTGAAGGTTCCCTAGTATATCTCAATAGACTACACAATTGTTTTCTCTGGCCAAAATTACCAAAGGTTTGAGAAATGTTTGCAAGAAGCAGCATAAGCTTCAACCTCAGATATGCAGATGTGTTTAGTAAAACTGTTGGAATTAAAACTCCAGTATTCAGTAGGGTCTGCATTCTCTTCCCACAGAGGTTACTTGTCATATCTTCCTACGAACCTCTGTTCTAATACGGCCATATTTCCCTGTTCTCGTAAAATCCCCTAGCGGCAAAAGATAGCAACATGAATTATCTCCCTTCTTTCTATCAAATCAGAACACGTGTTACATCGACTTAGATTCAACTTGACTAACACAAGCAAATGTGGGGCCACAAATATCCCCCATCTGCCGGGGACTTGTGTTGATGTTACATACAAGACGTTTAATGGCTAGCTTGTCCGTTGTCAACGAGGGCGATGGAGACGCCACTGATCCGCCATAACATGACTGAGTTCTGTCTAGAAGAAACGTTTGCGCATCGCGCAGGGAAAGAAGTTTAGTTTTCTCGAGGCATACGGAAATTACCGAGGCCTTGCGAATGATCACTTTTGAAACAACGTCGCTGATTGCACAACTCAATCTGATTGCCTCCAATCACAAGTCTTGAACGCTCACACCATGAAAGGGCCGTATTAGAACAGATGTTACGTAGGAAGATATGACAGGAGTAACCTCTGTGGGAAGAGAATGTAGGGTCTGCTGACAGTGTTTGAACTGACTGTGGTGCATGGGACGGGTCACATTCCAAGGGTCACTGACAAACGATTCACATATTTTTTTCAACACAATACAGTTTGATTATGGTGACGGTTTTGTTTCTACAAGTTGCTGCAGAGTTGTAGCTGCAGGCCAGCACAGGCCGTGGGTCCACAGTGATGTACTGTACTCCTTGTATCTATAGTGTTGCATGACTGTTGTTAGCCTGTATTTACTCTAGATCCAGATATCCAGGCTTGTGTTAATCAGGGCTGGTGTTTACGTTATCAAGATCTTCTCATCATCCAATGTTAAAGATGTCAAATGTTTAAATATTATTACAGTTTTGGTTGCTATGGTTATCTTGGGTTTGGTGTAATTGTTAACATTGTTCATCCCTGTCTGCCCAAACACCCAGATTTTCTATTTCCGTAAGTCAGTACTGATAACTTGGGAATAATGCATGAACTGTTTTTCGTATAAAGTTTCACTGTATGAAGTTTCCTGAGCTGAGGGTGTCAGTGGATTATATGATAGTGTGGCTAACACGGTCCTGCTGTTGTAGGTCTGGAGCGGAGGATGAGGTGTTGGTGGATCAGAATGACAGTGACATCAGTAAGTCCATGACGTGGGAAGAGGCGTGCCAGCTGGCGGAGAGTTGGAACAAGCGCCACTCAAGGGAAAACCTGGAGTCTGCTGGTGTTGACGAGGTACAGGAAGGTGGGGCAGCGTACTCAAGACTTGTAGACGAGGGGGAAGAAGAAGAGGAAGAGGATGAGGACAGCACCGAGGTGGAAGGTAAAGATGGTGGACAGACATGTGAATGTCACTTATGCAGTTACAAAGCTTCTCTTTCCCTGTCCTTGTATTTTCTACCAAATAAATTCTTTTGGAATATACTTTTCAAGTTTAGAAATGCGTTCAATGCGATAAAAATTTGGAAATACCTTTTCAGATGTTAATGGTGCTTAAATATTTGGTTGTGATTGCTAACCAGGTGTAACTGTGTTCCAGTGTCTGAGTACGACACGGAGGAGGAGACAACAGATGTGGAAACAGAAGAGGAGAATACAGAGAGTAAAGATGAGTCTGCCACCAGGAGTGACAACACTCGCAGCGATGGAACATTCCACAACACAGGAGGGTCAGTCTCCCCTCTCAAGTCCCCATCAGTGTCTGCAGTCGTGTCAGCAAGAGCAAACTTCTTCGCCAACCCCCCGGAACCAGTGAGGATTGATGCTGTGCGGGCCCTGGGGCTTAGTGAGCAGCAGAAGGGTCAGGTGTCACAGGAAGAGGAGCCCTCCGACAGAACGCAGACGGACAAGACGGACAATCAGGTGTCGGAGATATCTGAATTTGAACAAAATCCTGAACAAGGTGGAGAGGATGCTGGCACGGATGAAGATGTGCTGGATGTGGATATTGAGGACGAAGAGGAGGAGGCCAAGTTGGGCAGTGCAATGTCGAATGATGAAGGTGAGGAGGCCGACGGGGAAGAGGAGATGGAGACGGACTCCGAGGGAGAGGGGGAACGGGGCCTGAAGGAGGCCGACCTTGACAAGACTGCCGTGAGCAGGGCCATGGAGCAGCTTCTCAAGGACATGGATCAGCGAGGCTCAGTTGATTCTGAACAAGGGGAGGGAAGGGTGGTGTTGACAGATTCGGGGGAGGAGGAGGATGTGTTTGGGGAGGGAGATGGTGAGATCGGTGAGGATACTGAGATGGCTGTGTTGAGGAGTGTCCGGGATATGGAGGACACTGCGGGTGAGAAGGAGGACGAGGGTACTCTCCAGCAGGTCCTCCAGGAAGTGCTGGACATGAAGGATGATGAGAAGGAAGCAGACGATCATCTGCGCAACATTGATGATTCATTTGTGACACGACGGAGGAAGAAGAAGCCATCAGGGAAATCTTACAATCCACCTGGACACGTGTCCGACTCCGACACTAGTTTTACAATTTCTACTCCTTCTCAGAACTCTTCCACGAGCTCTTTAAATGATGAGTTTGAGAATAACAAACACTACTTAGATGATGATGATGATGACTTGAAGCCAGATGCTGACATGTTGAGAGACTATACAATCACACTAAGCACAGCACTGGATGAGAGTTACTCAGAATCTGAGATGCCGTCAGGGAAACAGCCTGAGGAGGATGGGGAGCTGAACAGGACAGTGCAGGGAGATGAAGCCCTCAACGACACAACCAGGTCTGGAAACGACAGTGTATACCTCACCCCAACTGAGAGTGCCACTAAAGAGGAACAGGCTCCCTCATCTGGGTCTGACGTCTTCATGACTCCGGAAGTTACTGAGGATAAGCCGGACTTATTGGAGACCCCTAAGGCTCCTGCTCAGGCTAACAAACCCTCTCCAAAGAAACTCATTAATATTTCAACACCAACTCCCAAAAAAGCTGTCTCTCCAACACTTGTAAAGAAAAGTGTTTCCAAAACTAGCAATAAGACTTCTCCCCCAACTAAGAGTAAACGAATCATTTTGTCTCCTGTGAAGATTACAACAGAACCAGAACCAGAACCGAAGGGAAGGCCACTGCCAAAGCCAACTCCACGGAAATCGGATTCAAAAGTCAGCCCTGTATCTTCAAGACTAGCTTCAAAGGTAAAAACTGATGTCAAGCAGATTTCCAAACCAATCACATCAAAGACTGATACGAAACTGAGCCCAAGGACTTCTACCGGAAAGACAGAATCCAAAGTCAGTCCCAAACCAGCTCCTCGTAAACTACCCATTCCTCCAAGTGTCAAAGGTCAAATTTCATCACCCCGATCTCCAGCAACTAAAACTCGTGCTCCCACATCAACCACATCAGACTCTTCTTCCCCATCTTTTAGTCGACCAACAGCCTCCTCCAGGGCCAAGAAGTGGAGTGACACAGACAGTCGGGAGGGAAGCACATCACCTGGGTCCACAAAAGCCAAGACTCCACGGCAGAACAAAACTAAGATATCCGTGGACAGGAATGTACTTCTGTCAGACTCGTCCTCTGAGATCCTCACATCAGATGGAACTGAGGGCACAAAGAAGAAGATTCCTCTTGATAAGAGCCTAGTTAAAAGTGAAAACCTGGCCCAGAAAAGCTTTGATGAAGGCATTGAAGATATTCCCTTTGCTGACGAGAGTGAGTTAGATGAGAGGTTCTACACTCCAGCCACATCTGTGAAGGCCAGAGTGCTGCCAGTTCCAAGAGAAGACACAAACGCTCGTAAACGCCTCCTCCCATCCCCACCAAAGAACAGTGCTGGTGTTCCTCCTGCCAATCAGATACTGGAGATTCAGAAAGCGCAGAAGGAGAGGAATAAAATCAAGATTAAAGAAGCTCCCCAGAAGAAGGATAGTGAAGTTGGTGGGGGGGTGCAGTGTGTTAATAGGACATTTCAGAACCCTGTTGTTCCTCGTCAAATTAAGAAGTCAGAGAATTCTGAACGTGACAGACGCAGCACATCGTACTCATCCATGGACCCCAGTACGAGTGACATGGTCACCGACAGTGATGACAGCCGTCTATACGGCCTACATACACCAACGTCAAGTGCTCCAGAATCGGAGAACTCATTGCTTGGCAGTAAAGGAAAGAAGAAGAAGAAAGGTGGTGATAAATCATTCATTGAGAAAGAAAAGAAACGCAAATCTCTGTTATCCAAATTGTTGCCAAGTAAATCTCCCGGAGAAAACACTGACAGACACACAGATCCTCTCGGACTCCAGTAGCAGCGCAACAAAGAAGAAGAAGACACCCAAGTCCGATAAGAAGAAGCGGACCAAGACGAAGGATGTTGTAGATTCGAGTCTTAGTGACAACTTGAAGGACCTGAAGATTGGTTCTGTGTTCACCACCGACCTAGCCAAACTTCCAGGAAACAGGCCCCACATCAGCTCTACGCTACCAATGGCTCCCAAGGCAGAGGGTTAGTATATCTACAGGTGTCACCCTACCACACTACTGTGGATACTTGGATGCAATATGATTGTTTATATGACATAAGGGATATAGTTTTGACAGTTATGAGGTACTTGATGAACATGGATACTGAAAAAAATTTGGCCTGTAATTTAAGATGTAAGGTAAAGTCAGAATTACTATAGAAGATCACACTCCAAAAGATAGTGTTATTCAGATAGCTGTGTGACTCGTGTACCTGGTCTCAGCTTGTTTACTTATGGGCCAGGGGTGGTGGGGTAGCTTAGTGGTTAAAGCTTGCGCTCGTCACGCCAAAGATCCGGGTTCGATTCCCCACATGGGTACAATGTGTGAAACCCATTTCTGGTGTCCCCTGCTGTGATATAGCTGGAATATTGCTAAAAGCGGCATAAAACTAAACGTACTCACTCACTCACACTTATGGGCCACTGAAGAGTTACCTCCTTGGCATAATGCAAGCACCATACTTGAAACACAGCCACTGTTATGTAGAGCGACCTCCTTGGCATAATGCATCCACCATACTTGAAACACAGCCACTGTTATGTAGAGTGACCTCCTTGGCATAATGCAAGCACCATACTTGGAACACAGCCACTGTTATGTAGAGTGACCTTGACATAATGCAAGCACCATACTTGAAACACAGCCACTGTTATGTAGAGTGACCTCCTTGGCATAATGCAAGCGCTATACTTGAAACACAGCCACTGTTATGTAGAGTGACCTCCTTGGCATAATGCAAGCACCATACTTGAAACACAGCCACTGTTATGTAGAGTGACCTCCTTGGCATAATGCAAGCCATACTTGAAACACAGCCACTGTTATGTAGAGTGACCTCCTTGGCATAATGCAAGCACCATACTTGAAACACAGCCACTGTTATGTAGAGTGACCTCCTTGGCATAATGCAAGCACCATACTTGAAACACAGCCACTGTTATGTAGAGTGACCTCCTTGGCATAATGCAAGCACCATACTTGAAACACAGCCACTGTTATGTAGAGTGACCTCCTTGGCATAATGCAAGAGCCATACTTGAAACACAGCCACTGTTATGTAGAGTGACCTCCTTGGCATAATGCAAGCACCATACTTGAAACACGGCCACTGTTATGTAGAGTGACCTCCTTGGCATAATGCAGCGCCATACTTGAAACACAGCCACTGTTATGTAGAGTGACCTCCTTGGCATAATACAAGCGCCATACTTGAAACACGGCCACTGTTTGTGTGATGGTTAACCGTAGCATTGTTCTCCTTGCAGTGGATGAGTTTTCAGATTCAGGGGAGAGCATGATGTCAACCAGCACACTACATGGCAGGAAGGTGAGTATCATAGTACCATAGTACCTCCCTCTCTCCCCTCTCTCCCCCTCTCCTCCCCCTCTTCCCCCCTCTCCCTCCCTCTCCCTCTCCCTCCCTCCCTCGACCAGTGCACTACATGGCAGGAAGGTGAGTATCATAGTACCAGCCAACATCCCTCCCTTCCTCCCTCTCTCCTCCCCTCTCCCCTCCCCCTCTCTCCCCCTCTACCTCCTCTCTCCCTCCCTCTCTCAACCAGCACACTACATGGCAGGAAGGTGAGTATCATAGTACCAGCCAGCCAACATCCCTCCCTCTCCTCTCTCCTCCTGTCCACACCTCTCTCCCCACTACCTCCCTGTCTCACTCTCTCCCCCTCTACCTCCCTCTCTCCCTCCCTCTCTCAACCAGCACACTACATGGCAGGAAGGTGAGTATCATAGTACCAGCCAACATCCCTCCCTCTTCTCCCTCCCTGTCTCCCACCCTCTCCCCACTACCTCCCCTCTCTCCCCTCTGCCTCCCTCTCTCCCTCCCTCTCTCTCACTACATGGCAGGAAGGTGAGTATCAGTACCAGCACCCTCTACCTCCTGTCTCCCATCGGCACACTACATGGCGGGAAGGTGAGTATCATAGTACCAGCCAACATCCCTCCTCTCTCTCCTCCTCCTCCTCCTGTCTCCCACCCTCTCCCCCACTGCCTCCCTGTCTCACTCTCTCCCCCTCTGCCTCCCTCTCCCTCCCTCCCTCGACCAGTGCACTACATGGCAGGAAGGTGAGTATCATAGTACCAGGTACCTCCCTCTCCCCCTACCTCCCCTCTCTCTCTCCCCTCCCCTCCTTTCCCCCTCTCCTCCCTCCCTCCCTCCCTCGACCAGCTACATGGCAGGAAGGTGAGTATCATAGTACCAGCCAACATCCCTCTCTCCCCCCTCTACCTCCCTGTCTCCCTCCTCTCCTCCCCTCTGCCTCCCTGTCTCTCTCTCTCCCCCTCTACCTCCCTCTCTCTCTCTCTCTCCTCCCTCTCTCAACCAGCACATTACATGGAAGGTGAGTATCAAAGCATCTTTGAGTACCAGCCAACATCCAAAGGCATTGCTATCCCTCTCTTCCTCTCTTGGAGAGACCTCTGGCTATTCCATTTCATTTCATGTAGTTTCAGGTCCAGCAGACATGAAAAGTTTTAGGCATCATTTCATTTAGTTTCAGGTCCAGCAGACATGTGTTTTATATGGTTGACTTTATGCTACTAAACCTAAGTTGACGATAGTAAACATGGGAGTCAGAATAAAGTTTGCTGTTGTTCCATTGTTAGGATGTATACAACAGCATTCTCATTTATCAGGAAACATCTGTAGAGGTTGAAAAATTTAAGATAACTTGGGTTGGGCCTTTCCCACCACATGTTTTCCTGTTAAAGAAGGTCAAGCAAGTAAAACAAAGTGTGGCCCAACATTTTGACTGCTGTATGTTTCATGTTTAATTTTTTTCAGGGTATGAACTTAACAGACAAGGCTGATGACAGAGTATCCCGTCGCATCCAGAAAGCCGCTGTGAAACAACACAAACAGGCAGAACAGAAGCGGCTCCGTATGGCACAGGAGATTCAACGCAAGCTGGAGGAAGTCGATGTCAAACAACGAACTGGAACAACGTGGCATTATTGTGGAGAAAGCATTACGAGGGGAGGGACCAGGTAGGTGGAACAGCAGAGCACTGTTATTGGAGAAGGCATTTTAACAGGCAGGGAAATGGTAGATGGAATGGCAGGGTATTACTTTGATCAAGGATGGTTAGTTATTAGTCTGGTGCTAGTGCCATGTTCCTTGTGTGTGTGACCTGTGTGTGACCTTGTACACTGTTTGACTCCAGATGCAGACAAGGAGGAGGCAGGGCTGATGCAGGAATGGTTTAATCTGGTGCACGACAAGAACAGCCTGGTCCGATACGAGTCGGAACTCATGGTGCGGTGAGTGTCACACAAGGCTCCAGACATTTCTGTAATGCCATCTTACAATGAATTATGATGATGGTGACGGTTGTGTTGATAGTTATGACAGTGTTGGCAGTTCTTGATGATGGTGACGGTTGTGTTGATAGTGATGACAGTGTTGGCGGTTCTTGATGATGGTGACGGTTGTGTTGATAGTTATGACAGTGTTGGCGGTTCTTGATGATGGTGACGGTTGTGTTGATAGTGATGACAGTGTTGGCGGTTCTTGATGATGGTGACGGTTGTGTTGATAGTTATGACAGTGTTGGCGGTTCTTGATGATGGTGACGGTTGTGTTGATAGTTATGACAGTGTTGGCGGTTCTTGATGATGGTGACGGTTGTGTTGATAGTTATGACAGTGTTGGCGGTTCTTGATGTGGCTGGCTGTTGATGGTGGTGATCAAGGTTCCAGACATTTCTGTTAAAATGAATTGTGATGATGTTGGAAAGTGGATGTGTTTGTTGTGCCTGTTGATGGTTATGACGGTGTTGATGGTTGTGACGGTGTTGATGATGTGATGGTTGGTGGATGTTGATGTGTTGGATGACGGTGTTGATGGTTGTGACGGTGTTAATGGTTGTGATGATGTGGGTGGTTGTGTTGATAGTTATGACGGTGTTGGATGGTTGTGACGTTGATTATGGTGTCTGTTATTGTTGATGGAGATGATGTTGATATGGGACTGTTGATTGATGGTTGTAGGGCGAAGGAGCTTGAGTTGGAGGATCGCCAGGCTCGCTTGGAGAACCAGCTGCGTGAGAGGATGAACTCAGGAGGTACAGTGACACCTACAGTCATAGGCTAGCCTCTCTCCATGCGTAGTTGTAGCAAAGGAAACTGTGCTTCTGTCCTAGTTTATCTTATATATTTTTGTCAAATCAAAGATTTTATGCAGGTGAATAAAAACTGCATAACATGTAATGTAAGTTTATCAGAATATGTTTTACTTATCCTGCCTAACAGTTTTTATGTATGCACAACTCTTAAGTTATTGGCTTTTGTCAGCCGATGTATGATACAGTGAGCACTGGAACTTGTAACTTTGTCATGTTACAGTTTGTAAAGATGACTTCAAGAGATCTTTCACAAATCCTATAGTTTGGATGCCGGTGAATAGTTGACCAACATTTAAGCTACATAATCCTCAAATTACTGTTACTGTCCAGTGATACTACGTAAAATTCAATTCTTCCCTATTACTTCTGTTGGTCCTTCATTGCATGGCACATTACCTTGTCATATGAATCGAGTGGTACTGGGAAGTATTGAACAGCACAGTTTCTTCTTGCTGCTAGTGTACAACATATTATGTAATCAGTAGGACTAGGAGGACAGTTAGGTGACCTTGGCTTGTCTGTTCACTAAGGTCACTGAGGGCATGATGTAGCGTCTGTCTCTCTCTACTGAATAACTCCTATCTAGGATTAGCTACACACACTGGAGAACTGTATTTACAGGCAAAATGGATTTTAGGGCACAGATACTGTATGAAATAAGTTGTCTATATGTTATACCAATTTTGCCAGATGTACTGTGTACTAAAAACTATGTTGTCTGTGATTAAATCTTTCACTTTTATTATGAATGTTAAGCACTGTTCATACTAATGGGAAATGTCGTGAGAAGTGTTAGTCACGTTGGTGAGATTCAGTGATTAATCTGGTGAAACTCCTCCCACTGTAGTCAGGAGAATACATACAGCAGAGGCATGCTCCCCTTTCTGTCCCAAGGCATGCTCTTGAACCATGTTGAGTTTCAGGTAGTTCCTTTGTTCCTGTAGGACCAGACACCCTCAGCTTGTAGAGGGCTTTTGTTGCAGCAGTGGGCATGTTGCTCCATGCTGCTCCAACTGAGTAGTGTCGTCCTAGGTCACCATGGGATTACCTGCTGCTCACCTGTACGATCTAGGTTCACTCACTCTCATGGATACAATACATTAGTCCCTTCCTGGTGTCCATGTACAATATGTAAGTCCCTTCCTGGTGTCCAGGTACTCTATGTCAGTTCCTTCCTGGTGTCCAGGAACAGTATGTCAGTCCCTTCCTGGTGTCCTGGTACTCTGTCAGTCCCTTCTTGGTGTCCAGGTACTCTATGTCAGTCCCTTCCTGGTGTCGAGGTACTCTATATCAGTCCCTTACTGGTGTCCATGTACAATATGTCAGTCCCTTCCTGGTGTCCAGGTACTCTATGTCAGTCCCTTCCTGGTGTCCAAGTACAGTATGTCAGTCCCTTCCTGGTGTCCAAGTACAATATGTCAGTCCCTTCCTGGTGTCCAGGTATATTATGTCAGTCCATTCCTGGTGTCCAGGTACTCTATGTCAGTCCCTTCCTGGTGTCCAGGTACTCTATGTCGGTCCCTTCCTGGTGTCCATGGACAGTATGTCAGTCCCTTCCTGGTGTCCAGGTACAGTATGTCCGTCCTTCCTGGTGTCCATGTACAATATGTCAGTCCCTTCCTGGTGTCCAGGTATATTATGTCAGTCCCTTCCTGGTGTCCAGGTACTCTATGTCAGTCCCTTCCTGGTGTCCATGTACAATATGTCAGTCCCTTCCTGGTGTCCATGTACAATATGTCAGTCCCTTCCTCGTGTCCAGGTATATTATGTCAGTCCTTTCCTTGTGTCCAGGTACTCTATGTCGGTCCCTTCCTGGTGTCTAAGTACTCTATGTCGGCCCCTTCCTGGTGTCCAGGTACTCTATGTCAGTCCCTTCCTGGTGTCCAGGTATATTATGTCAGTCCTTCCTGGTGTCCAAATACTATATGTCAGTCCTTCCAGGTGTTCAGGTACAATATGTCGGTCCCTTCCTGGTGTCCAGGTATATTATGTCAGTCCTTCCTGGTGTCCAAATACTATATGTCAGTCCCTTCCTGGTGTCCAAGTACAGTATGTCAGTCCCTTCCTGGTGTCCAGGTATATTATGTCAGTTCTTTCTTGGTGTCCAAGTACAATATGTTGATGGGTATTGTTCTCAGAGCTAAGATAGGTCTGATAATTTTAAAATTGGATCTGAATAACAAAATTGTTCCAATATATGGCAGTGTGTGTGTGTGTGTGTATTATCAGCGTCTGAATCTGAGGCAGGCGTCGCCTGACCTTGTTCCCCTGACTGAGTGTCGTAGTGTAGCATGTTGTGTGTACTAACTGCAGATCTGGACAAGTCCGATGCGGAGATCATCGATGAGAAAAACATCCTCGATGAGCTGCTAGAGGTGGTGGAGCAGAGAGACAACCTGGTGGCCATGTTGGAGGAAGACAGGCTCAGGTACACACAGGAGAGCTGGCAAAGGGAGAAAACTCACCAGGCGAAAAAGCCTGTTGAAACAAATCTATGATCTTTTTATGTTACAAAAAAATAAATAACTTGTTGTTGAGTTGTACATCTGAGGTTAACGGGCCATTTATGTCACTCAGACCATTGTCAAATAGTAATGAATCATCCTGCTTTCCTTCCACTAATTCTGTGCATGGCATGGTGGTTTGTGCATGGTGTGTCATCACTCTGACTGACACTAGAGTCAACCAACAGTAGAAAACTTTGGACTCCCTGAACTCATGTGAGCTTGTGTCCACTGTACACTACAGCTTTTGTGCTTTTATTTCATAGGACTGAAAGACTGAGAGCCTATATCACGGCATGTTGTCTAGTGCTTGTAGTAGGTCATACAGTTCTCAAAATTCACAGGACCAATTTAGCTGAACATTCTCATGCTTGTCCACGTCAGTGATGAGCTCCAAATCTGCAACTGTATTTAAAATAAGCTGACATAAAAGTTGGTAGATGTTTACTAAGTAAGGGGTTTCAAAACATATTGCAGATTTAGACCTTCTCTTTACCTTTGGTGAAGACTACATCTGAATCGTTTCTGAAAATTGTTTAAATGTAGCTTCTTTATTTGTCTTGTTAAAATTTGTCTGTGTCAAAAAAGCATTGGGTGAGCTACAGAGCTACTATTTCCTGTAGTTGAATCATAAAAGTTGAATCATAAAATAACCCATAACTAACCTGTTGTACATCAGGATAAGAGCAGTTTGCTTCTCATGGAAGTTTAGCGACTAGATCACATGATCATATTTCCCTCTTAGAGTTACTCCTACCAAGGACGTGCATGTAGACAGGTGACATTCAGTTGCCTCATAAGTTGCTTGATGAAAGATTCCCGCAGCAAGTAACTGTCATATTGTGAATCTGTCATTGCAGCTCCAGGGACCATTAATGTGGAGTAGCTAGGGAATAACACAGCATTATTACTGGTTACATCAACACATGTAAGTGATGCATGTAACATGGATAGTATCATTGGTTACAAGTGATCTAGGGAATAACACAGCATTATTACTGGTTACATCAACACATGTAAGTGATGCATGTAACATGGATAGTATCATTGGTTACAAGTGATCTAGGGAATAACACAGCATTATTACTGGTTACATCAACACATGTAAGTGATGCATGTAACATGGATAGTATCATTGGTTACAAGTGATCTAGGGAATAACACAGCATTATTACTGGTTACATCATTACATGTAAGTGATGCATGTAACATGGATAGTATCATTGGTTACAAGTGATCTAGGGAATAACACAGCATTATTACTGGTTACATCATTACATGTAAGTGATGCATGTAACATGGATAGTACCATTGGTTACAAGTGATCTAGGGAATAACACAGCATTATTACTGGTTACATCAACACATGTAAGTGATGCATGTAACATGGATAGTATCATTGGTTACAAGTGATCTAGGGAATAACACAGCATTATAACTGGTTACATCAACACATGTAAGTGATGCATGTAACATGGATAGTATCATTGGTTACAAGTGATCTAGGGAATAACACAGCATTATTACTGTTTACATCAACACATGCAAGTGATGCATGTAATATGGATATTGGTATATTGTTTCATCAACACATGTAAGTGAGTCAAGATCTCTTCAAGTAATGGCATGTACTCTGAACTATGACCTTCTCCATTGTTGTATGTCATGACTAGGAAGGCAAGTTATGCTTGTGTAGGCTTGTATAGTCATCCTCCAGAATGAAATGGATATTTAGGGAATACTATGTACATGCAATTTATATTGTAACCACATCAGATCTCTTGTATTTAAAAGTAACTGTTTACTCCGGTGTTTTAAATGTCAGTAAAATGAGCTTTTCCTGATAGTGGTGTTATCTTTAGTGATATTACCTGATGTTGCCAGTCGGGATTACCGTGCTGAAGTCACTCCCCACTTTCTGTTTCAGAGAGCAGGAAGAAGACAAAGACCTAGAGGAAGTTATGTTGAAGAAGGGCTTCGCCTTGTCACCTATCTGTTTGCCGGACAGTGGGAAGTCCGAAGTCTCCTGATCCCATGTTGCAGGTCCCTGTAGCCTTCCTGGAGCCCCGTGGGACACTCTGGCCAGTTGTACTCATAACTTATTCAAGTCAGTGTAGTTCAGGATGGCACTGGAATACAGCTTACAGATGTTGTACTGATGGCAGTACGTTGGAACTCCCAACGTCAGCCTGGCATGAGAGCCAGCTTGCTTTACAAACACTTCTAGTGGTGCTGTATAGACGCTTGTGTAGATGTTCAAGCAGCAGCATATTAGCAGCTTCATCATCAATGCATTTATCTTCTATATGCAGTTGTACCACAAGATTAGATGTCCTGATGCCGAGATGTGAGACGTTTTCTACCTACATGTGATATTACTGTTTATTCCCCGATTCCTTGTAACAAACGAGGATCATGCATTCCCTGTGTTCAGGTGGTGATGAAGACGGTATTGCAATTACTGGAATTAGTTTCCATGGTAACATGCACTCTGTTAAGAACACCTTGCTTTGTCCTTGCAGTGTGCGGTTCAAGCTAAATATGTAACTTGCCGTAGTGAAACAAACAGCTGGGAGGAATCTCTTCTAAGCTTACACTGATCTAGCAACTCGAGTGTGTCTGGCTACATACAGCATTAACAGTGTGAAACACAGATCTCTCCTGTGGGGTATAGATGCGGGCTGTTTTTAGTGAGTCGTTACAAAACTTCAGCTGGAGTTATTCCTTTTCTAATCTCCCTGAGATGGGTGACCTGGTCCTGATACTCCTCCAGATAACCTGAGTGTATCTTGTTCTACATGTTCATGTAAATTCCACAACAATGAACTGAACATGTAAGTTTTTACTGATTCTTGAACCAATACCAAGGATATACTAGGCTGTACAAGAGCAGCAATGATAGTGAACCCTAGCAGCTGCTGCAGCTGTGGCAAGATGTCAGCTCTCTGCCATGGCAGTGTCCAGACTGTCTACCACTGGGACGTGGAACCTCACTATGTTCTGCTGTGTACTTGTAGCACAAATTATTTTAAGGTTACACAAATAAATATTGACATGCAGTGGAAGTAAAGAAGTATATGTACACTTCATGTTTCCAAGTTAAAGGTTTTTTAAGCTGTAGTGTTCTCGATCCCACTTGGACGAAACCGTGGCGGTTGTTACCAGAACGTGTGTACCTCTGTGAGGCTTCTATGTACGTGAGATAACACTGATCACAGGATTAGAGTAGAGTAGGCATAGTAAGGTCTCTATTTGCTGTAAAATATTCCTTATTGGACTGTTGCTTGTCAAGCTCTGTACAGCCTTTGCCTACACCTGGTGGCTGATGAGCTCTACTCTTTCTGTGGCTTCCACATGGTCTGATGGACTTGTACAACAATCCCAGATCAGTTTGCTACATTGAACTTAGAGGGTTTTTTCAGCATTAAACTAAATAATGTGAGGATGAATCTCAGATAATCTCATGTAATTGGCATGTGTGTAATGGCACTCTTGTAGTTTGATGTCAATGCATGTTATTGATGGAGGTGAGGATACTCTGCACGTTGCAAATTCTTTTGGTTTTGAGAGAAATGATGTATATGAAAAGCATGTGAACTTAATGTGGCTTTGTCAGACATCTGGAGTAAGAGTACCAAGACGCTGTTATTTCAGACTGGTTGTTTTGTTGCTCATCTGAGATGACGGCTGTTTAACTATAATTTAACACCAAAGATTGTTCCTGTTGCATCACTGACCTCAGTCTCATATCATTTCACTGTCTACAGTTTTAACACAGCTGAAGTTTTAATTAATATGCATAAAGGTTATATTTACATGTTCACATACAGGCGTCAATGTTGGTACATTGTGGCATTATTTACTGATGTATTCAAGATGTCCTTTACTGTAACCATGGTAACTGGTCTGGTCACAACTTCATCCAAGCAAGACCACTCATCTCACACTAATTACATTCTTAATTTAATCAGCAACTTAGGTAATGTAGATAATTATCCAAGCAAAAGAACCAAATGAATGTTCAGAACAAAGAATGTGTATTCTAGCTATGACCAAGACGACGTGTTGGCCGTGCTGGACTGGTCATCATGCTTGCTGGCGTGCGTGTGTCCGGTGGTCCGGATGCTGTGACTGGTGCTACTATCTCCACACCTCATACTGTGTGTTTGTTCTTCACCTGTTGTTGACACTGTGTCGCTTGATGTGGCACCTCGCTAACACTGTGTACATTGTTGCCATCACCTGTGTTTGTAGGTCAACACTGTGTACATTGTTGCCATCACCTGTGTTTGTAGGTCGACACTGTGTACATTGTTGCCATCACCTGTGTTTGTAGGTCAACACTGTGTACATTGTTGCCATCACCTGTGTTTGTAGGTCGACACTGTGTACATTGTTGCCATCACCTGTGTTTGTAGGTCGACACTGTGTACATTGTTGCCATCACCTGTGTTTGTAGGTCAACACTGTGTACATTGTTGCCATCACCTGTGTTTGTAGGTCAACACTGTGTTCATTGTGCCATCACCTGTGTTTGTAGGTCGACACTGTGTACATTGTTGCCATCACCAGTGTTTGTAGGTCGATACTGTGTACATTGTTGCCATCACCTGTGTTTGTAGGTCGACACTGTGTACATTGTTGCCATCACCTGTGTTTGTAGGTCGACACTGTGTACATTGTTGCCATCACCTGTGTTTGTAGGTCGACACTGTGTACATTGTTGCCATCACCTGTGTTTGTAGGTCGACACTGTGTACATTGTTGCCATCACCTGTGTTTGTAGGTCGACACTGTGTACATTGTTGCCATCACCTGTGTTTGTAGGTCGACACTGTGTACATTGTTGCCATCACCTGTGTTTGTAGGTCGACACTGTGTACATTGTTGCCATCACCTGTGTTTGTAGGTCAACACTGTGTTCATTGTTGCCATTACCTGTGTTTGTAGGTCGACACTGTGTACATTGTTGCCATCACCTGTGTTTGTAGGTCAACACTGTGTACATTGTTGCCATCACCAGTGTTTGTATGGTTGACACTGTGGACATTGTTGCCATCACTTGTGTTTGTAAGTTGACACTGTGTACATCTTTCTGTCAACAGCATGCCTCAAATGAAATTGATATTGTGCTGTCCATGTTTTTCTGAGGATTTTCACATACAGTTTCTGTGATGCAAAGCTTTATTGATATTAGGTCATCCCTGTCTGTTGTACTGTCATGTGAACTGACAGACCTACCGCCAATGGTTCCTTTTGAACATGTTACCCTCGTGGTTATGTCTTAGGGATGTGTCAACTCTCTCAAAGGATATTTATCTCAAATGTTTGGTTGTATTTCAGATTCTTATTTTGAGCAAGACTCGGATGTACGATCGCCTCAGAGCTTGTTGTGTGTATATACCTGTATACATATGTGTTGGGCCATGTCCGTGCTTGTATAGCCTGCCTCCTTGTTCTCTGTACATATACAAGTTTGTTGTTTTCAGCTATTATTTATGTTGTTGTTGAAAAGAATCAATATTCCTGTCCATTTCCGTCAGTCCATATTCAGTGTCCCGTACACAGTTGTGGTTACATAGATCTCATGTCAGCACAATCAGTCTGTAATGATGTTGCTTCTCCTCAATGGAATCTCTCATAGCTGTGCTGTTCTCTTCAAGTCTTGCTCTTCTCATCACACTGTCACAGTGTTGCTGTTTTCCGGGAGTCTCTCTCTCCTCATACTGACGCTCTCACAAACCACATTGGTAACCTACGTAAACCTGCTCATCTTGACGCAACACTCTGACAACCACTCAACCCTTCAGCCTGCTCTGCCTTGCACTTATTTAAATGCTTCAATCTCTTTTGATTCTCAGGCTCACGCTTTTAAAACGGCCATGATCCATGCAAGAATCATGAAGCCCTCAATAGGTGACCTTGTGCTGCTTATAGTGTAGTGAAGTGTGTTTTGGTAGCTAAACACTTGGATCCATCCTGTAGGTTGTACTTAAAGCTTCATTCAACGTGAACCATTGATAATGAAATCTTCCATCTAGATATGACACAAATTCCATTTCATCGATTCATGTTGGAATAAGTTCTTTTTTATCAATGTAAAATGGCCAGTATTTATGAAGAGCTAAACTAGATTCAATTGTAAATATATCGTTCACTGTCTTCTCACCACTTTGTGGAAATGTAAACATACACATCAATGTATTTATATTTTGTGTTATTTTCAGGTTAAGAAATAATTGTTAGTTGCATCAAATTCTTGACATGAAAGAGGTGAGGTGAGAAACCAGTCCCATGCAGCATGTGAGAGAGTTATTTCCCCTTGATCTACAGGCGGTCATTGTGGCCAGATTGTCTGTGTATACTGTTTTCTTTGTGTGTGATGTGTCTGTAGAAGCCCCAGCCTGTCATCTAACAAGTATGCACTCATAGCAGGAGCTCGCATTGAGCTGCACATAAAGTTGAAACAGCGTCTTGTTTGGGCTTTATAAAGAACCTTTGGGCATTGTTGCAACAAGACACAACGTAATTGAGCGACTTCTCTTCAGACATCTGCTAAGTTCCTCTTCTGTTAGCTGCTGTCAGAAAGTGAAAGCAATAATTCTATTGACAGTATGCAAACACTGATGTGAATGAATGTTGTTTTGTCATAGTCAGCATTATTATCACAGCAACCCACGGATGTCAAGTCTGATCCAGGTAATGATATGTCACCTCCTCACTACGACCGTGTTGGTCAGCTGTGTGACGAGTGACCAGTGTATACCGGTCCTACTAGTCCCAGCAGGGTGTAGGATGGCAGACCAGTCAACCTCCAGTTGTACAGAGGACTCTGTTCAGCAAATTGTACAATAATATCTAAATGTAGTATTTATGGAGCATGATAATATTTCTAAGCTGTAAAAATTCTCAGTGTGATTCATTATTGTGAACTTATAATCTGATGGACTACAGTTTAAGGATGTGACTGAGATTGCTGTTGTAGGGCCGGATGTTATGGGTGGACCAGTTCATGCTCTGTAGCTCACCCTCATTGTGATGTAATTCCCCTTATTCTGCTAGCATGGCATTCTCTAGCACTCATTGCAACATTCAACTGGGCTCCTGCTACAAGTCACAGCACTCCCCCTGGCGATACGGTTTACAGGGGAAACGTTATGGATGTTCTGTAACAACAGCAAGCATCCTGAGGCTTACACATTGTGATGTTTTTGCTGCCCTTGGTTGGTGTAATGTCGCTGTTCGCTGCACCAAACACTGTGAGTGTTGATACAAGGGAAATTAGTGCATGTCAGCCATGCCAGATGAAGGAGTATGATGGTAGATTCAACTTGGTTGTAAGCGCCACATAAATACTCATCCAGATTGTAACGACCTTTGACCTGTGAATACACAGTGCTATTTAGAAAGTGGTCAAATTTAGCATGTTACAATGTTGGTTGACTGTGGTTGAATTGTACCACGCAGTACTGTCAATGACCAACCGTCGGTTGACTGTGGTTGAATTGTAGCATGCAGTACTGTCAATGGTCAACTGTTGGTTGAATTCTACCATGCAGTACTGTCAGTGATCAACCGTCGGTTGACTGTGGTTGAATTGTACCCTGCAGTACTGTCAATGGTCAACTGTTGGTTGAATTGTACCATGCAGTACTGTCAGCGATCAACCGTCGGTTGACTGTGGTTGAATTGTACCATGCAGTACTGTCAATGGTCAATTGTTGGTTGACTGTGGTTGAATTGTACCCTGCAGTTCTGTCAATGGTCAACTGTTGGTTGAATTGTACCATGCAGTTCTGTCAATGGTCAACTGTTGGTTGACTGTGTGGTCGAAGTGCTGTTGGTTGACTGTGTGGTCGAAGTGCTGTTGGTTGACAGTGTGTTTGCACCGTGTTTTGTTTGTGATTGTGGAGTGTGACTGGCTTTGTTGTTTGGTTTTATCCAGTCCGTAGCAGCGCTGTTGATGTAGGGCAACATGTTGTTGAGTTGTTCATGTTTTCAGTGTTCTAAAGTTGATAAGAGTTGTTAATATTCTCAAATATTTTATTAATATCAAATCCTCAGCATACTATGTTTAGAACAATATCAGATACATTTCTGATAGTGGCTAGTTTTGGACTTGTACAGCAAGCAGCAATAGTGATATTTTTGTATATTACCTTTGTAACATACTGGCAGTTTTTGTCATTTCTTTTTTTTAATTTTGAATAGGCTGTCAAGTTATATTTGTAGTTTATATGTCTGCCTGACATGAACCTCCTTTCTTTGACCGAGTTCTTCTCGGAACAACCTGCCAGCATTACTGTAGAGCTATGTTGTTGGTATTGGAGTAACTATTACATATTGTGTGGAGACAAGTACAAGCTCTGTATCCAGTAGATAGCAACATTTTAGTGTCAAGTCTAGCTATATGTTTGCATTACACAAGGACACTGGTTCCAGATGACATTTATCAGTTAAAGTTAAAAAAGATGGGTGGATAAACAGCTAAAGTACATTTCAACACATGCTATAGAAAACATATAGGACTTCCTAAGTCATTTTCAGTTTATTCCATTTGAAACTATGACAATCGAAACCCTATTGTCTCCTTGAGGTTGTTATAAGGTTGGCTGGCAACGTGTACCTAGACTTACCCTGTTTTGTGAGTATTGTAGCATAAGGTGTGTTAGTTTTGTACAGGTCTTCACAACAGGCGCCATATACTGTGTGACTGCATATCACCATTGAGATTACACTTGTTTCTAGTCATTTGCCCTGCTTTGCTTCTTGCTAAGCAGCAGTAGCCTAGTAACGCTGTGGCCTTGACCTACAGCTGTCAATAACCTTGTAACGCTGTGGCCTTGACCTACAGCTGTCAATAACCTTGTAACGCTGTGGCCTTGACCTACAGCTGTCAATAACCTTGTAACGCTGTGGCCTTGACCTACAGCTGTCAATAACCAAGCAACGCTGTGGCCTTGACCTACATCTGTCAGAACCACGCAATGCTGTGGCCTTGACCTACAGCTGCCAATAACCTAGCAATGCTGTGGCCTTGTCACACAGTTGTCTATGTGGCATATATCTGTTCTCTGCTTCGTGGCTGGTGTCATTTGACTAAAATTGTTTTGTTTCTTTATTTAGATAAGGTGAGGCTTGGTAATGATTATGGTGTTACTGGACTGTTTCCCTTCTCTGTAAATCTAGAGACATCACCAGTGTTTGACACAAAACTGACAGTTAACCTTTCTCTGTAAGACCTGATAAGAAAAATGATATGAAATGTACAGTTAAAAAAATCTGTTCTGTGGTTTGTAAACACTAAATGTATATGTACATTTTTACCATGCTTGTACAATACTGAGGCGAGCACTCTTTCTTAAAAAATTAAGAAAATCAGATCACATTTCCTGTCCTACTTGTCTCCTCATGATAAGGAGACCATGGCTGTGTCTTGTACTACATTTCCTTGGATTATTTACATGTTACATGATCATATTTGATACATCAACTTAATGTTTCCATCATCCATTTTACACATGGTCAGTACCTCACAGATCGTCCTGTCTACAAGTTTACATCATTTCCTGACTGTTTTAATGTTGAAGATAACACTGCCTCAAAGTGTATGTCAACTATCTCATTTTTAAGCTATTTTCTGTGTTTCTTACTGTCCGTGTGAACTGTGATTATTTCGTGGGGTAAGTGGACAAGGTTAAGGATAGCCTGTGTCTACCAGTACATCGAGGAAACTCAGCTCTTACGGAATATATCAATAAAACTAAGTACTCAATTGTCTCTTTGTCTTCTGTACCAAAGCCATCATCAGAGAGGGACCACTGATGGCGCTTCAGTCCAGAACCTGTACAGACTTGCATCCCTTAGACTCTTAGGATCTGTACATCATGAGGTTGGACCCTAGATCACAACCATGTTTCTTAAGAGTGGTGCCTATGGTCCATGGCTCCTCACCACAAGTACAATTGCATCTTACAGCCCTGGCCTTGCCTCCACGATGAAGGGGGATAGCCTGCACACACAGTGCAAAGCTGATCTCCTGCACACACAGTGCAAAGCTGATCTGCACACACAGTGATCTCCTGAAGCTGATCTCTGCACTGATCTCCTGCACACACACACACACACTGTGAAGCTGCACACAGTGTGAGGCTGATCTCCTGCACACACTCTGCACACACTGAAGCTGATCTGCACAGTGTGAAGCTGATCTCCTGCACACAGTGTGAAGCTGATCTCCTGCACACACAGTGATCTCCTGCACACACACGAAGCTGATCTCCTGCACACACTGTGAAGCTGATCTCCTGCAGCACACAGTGTGAAGCTGATCTCCTGATCTCACACACACACTGATCTCCTGTGTGAAGCTGATCTCCTGCACACAGTGTGAAGCTGATCTCCCTCACACACAGTGTAAAGCTGATCTCCTGCACAAAACATTGCTGTGTAAGTGCAATAATCTGGAACATGACCTCTTATAGTCCGGCTATATTATATTGACTGGCTTATTATAGGTTTGTCAGCTCATGGGTTTCACCAATGTCTAAGAACAGCATCACTTAGGGCTCTCCCCTCATGGAGCTGATAGTCTGGGACATAACGGACGTATACACCTGAAAACATGAACACACAACAGACACATTGATGCCTTCATGACTCCATATATTACATTGTGTTCTTTCCTCAGAGTCCTCTACATGTATACAGTGAGACAGGATTTACCTAAAAGAATACAATGAAAAAACATGACACTGATCAAAGTAAAGATAATAATACATATTTACCAACCAAAAGAAAAACATGTCTGCACATTTTTCAACAATATTGGCAAAGCAACTGTCATGGGTTTTTATAACCCAATGTTTGTCTTAAATATATTAGACCAGACCAATTTTATTTCTTGTTTTACGGATTTTTGCCATCAGAAAACCTAAAGGCAGGAGGGAAAAAAAATTAAAATAAAATAACCAGTCAAAGTAATATTCCTTCTAAATACTAAAAGTGTTTTACTTTGGGGAATTTATGAAGTGTATATGGGGCAAAAAACAATCTCAAAGAAGTTTTCTTGTAAGTTTACATTTTTGGTCAATAAAAACATTAGGATTTTATGTTTTGAGTGGGGAAGATTAATTATTATTTTTTTTCTTATTCTTGAAAAGATACGACCGGCGGATCCTTAAAACAAGGAATAAAATTGGTCTGGCCTCAACATGATTTTGGTTCCTCATGCAAACTGTAATAAGTAACAGAGGGTCATGTAGTTAGTGTCTGCAGCCATTAACACAGCGTGAATTCGACAACAATTCCCAACCGGAGATGCCTGGAAAGCAACGTAAAATAACTAAATAGAACTTGAGTCCCCCAACCCGATGATCCCTCTCCTGTGCTGTGACACGTCCCTGTGGACTTTGTCCCTCGTGTAGAACTATCACCTGTACCGTCTCCAGGCATCCATTCACGTCACAACATCAGGTTCTGTGATCTTCACCTTCGACCGAGCGGAACTCTCGATGAGGTTGACGATGTCAGCGGCGACTGTCTGCAACCCGTGTACCTCGATTCTCTTTACAATGAATCCTGTCCATGCACAAACAGCTATGGCGATGACTAGCAGTAGCTTGACTAGAGAGAGGATTAGCGGAGCTGAGGGTACAAGACCTCCCGACATCTCCAGCAGGTACAGGAGGACACCCAGCACCAGCGCCTGGATCTGAAGGACAGACAGACAGGTCTTGGAGACACAGACAGAGAGATGAGATCACACACACACAAGGTGTATACTGACCTGTACATAAACATTTACTCCACAGGAGTGAGTTTAGTTTTACGCTGCACTCAGGAATATTCCAGCTATATGGCGATGGTCTGTAAATAATCAAGTCTGGGCCACACAAGCCAGTGTTCAACAGCATGAGCATCAATCTACGCAACTGGGATACGATGACATGTGTCAAACAAGTCAACGAGCCTGACCACCCGATCCCATTTGTCACCTCTTACAACAAGCATGGGTTGCTGAAGATGAATTCTAACCTGATATTTATGGGTAAGGAATCACAGTAACTTATGCTTGGTATAAAAGGCTGTCGACTGTGTTATACTGCAGTGTAGTTTATTGTTAAACATTGTTAAAATTGTATAAAATGTTTCTGATATGCTCCAATCTGGAATCTTCTAGAACCGTTTTAAAACTAATCCAGCATGGTTGGGAATGTTGTAGATGGTATTTCGACTATATAAGTGGACAAGTGCATGCTTGCCTGGAAGAAACTCTGGTCACTTTCTGTCTGTTTCTGTCCCCGCTCTAGTTCTGTCAGCGCCGTCCCCAGAAGATTGTCTCTCTCTGACAGTCTGGCATCCCGTGAGTCGGCAGAATCTGTAACATAAATGTTATGAAAAATTGATTATCAGTTTCATGATGAAAACAATACCAACAGATATAAATTTTTGCTTTGCTTGCTCAGAAGGCATCATCCACTTACTACCTGTGTCTTCACCTCAACCCAATACACTTGTACCAAAAACATCACTAAGAACTATGTGTGGTAGCATCTTTCTCTACCCAATACACTTGTACTGAAGGCATCAAGTAGGAACTACCTGTGTTATATCTAATACTCTTCATATCGATGGCATTATCTAGGATCATCTACCTGTAGAGTCCCCCTTCTGTATCCGCAGCACGGCCAGCACTGCCTCGTGGTCGGAGAAGTTGTAGGTGCGCCCAGGGATCTTGTTCATGATGACGCTGCACTCCTCTACACTCACACTGAAATCTGGACAAGACAGAAAGGGGAGAATAACAACACGGCCTCTTCAAGCTTCTAGGGAATAGTAAACTACCCAAATGCCACGTACAACAGTATGAAATCCATTGTGCAATTGGTATTCTGTGAGCATTATAACATAACAAATCCAGACCAGCTTACACCTGGAAAGTATTCAAAGAATGACCAATAATGATGTGGCTGTTCCGAGCACACACTGACTATCACCAGCCCTATACTGCTACCAGTCCTGTATTCCACACCAGAATAGATCCATATTATTCTAAATACCCTTTGTAAGCACTACCTTATGAAGCTCATGCTGTTGATCACTGGATTGTCTGGTCCAGACTTGATTATTTACAGACTGCTGCCATATAGCTAGAAGATTCCTGAGTGCGGCGTAAAACTAAACTGTGCAATACCCAATCCTGTTTGTCACCTCTTAAGACAAGCATGGGTTAATGAAGATCAACTCTACCCGGATCTTCATCTTTTTGACCAACACATACACCAATAGAGCATCTGCCTGGAGAGGGGAAAGCTCACCCATGGCACTGTGTTGTACTGAAAGCTGGTGCTAAGAATGGTATCTCAGTGGGTTTACTATATAGGTCTGGACAAGCAGCAACTTGGAATCCCATTACATCTGACTTACATTGAAAATGGACATCAGATTAAGGTGTACAGGCTCTCTTTCAAAACAAGAATGCTCTATGTATTCAAGTAAGATTTTATTTTAGCCTACTTGGACCAGGTCTGTAAAACCAGTAGTCGATCCGCTTCCCATCAGGGTAGCCTGGCTGTGGGTTGGAGAAGCTGTTGCTAGGGACCTCATCTGTGTTGCCGTGCTCATATCCTGATGTCCGCTTCTGTAACAAAGGGAGGTAACCTGCATGATTATACACAGTAGTAACATGATCACCATACACTCTTATACCACTGTTCCACAGCTGGACCTACAACATTCTACTCTTACTTGGGGTTTTCCATATCTAACTATATATACATCAAGGATCACATATTTCAGCATATTACAGCCAACCCCATTACTTATACACATCTCCAATAAATGAGAGGTGGTTAGTAGATTAGCTGTCTCACTCACTCACTCATTCACCTAGTCAACACCTAGTCACAGAAACACTGTTACAAACTTGGATTCAACTTCCTCAAAAACAATAGTCACTGTAAGCTCAGCCAATCAGGTGTCAGCACTGAACTCTGCATACTCTAACCAAACCAAAGTTAAAGCTAAAAAGTATAGAATTAACATAAATATGACAACATGTTATCAGACCCTTGCAGGCAACAGAGATGTGCCCCAGCACCTACCTTGTCCAGCCAGCAGTCACACACAGGGGCATTTGTACGGATCAGCTTGTATCCCAGGTCCACTGGCTCCACATTCAGGTCGCCCCCAAGCAGCACCAGGTCACATGACTCCGATGTCAGCCTCACAAACTGGCTGATCTGGAAGGCCTGGGCGACACGGTGAGCCAGATACTCGTCGTTGTCATGTCGGTACTCCGCATGGAACTGTAAACAGTGGAGCGAGTGAGTAGGTGAGAGAGAGAGAGAGAGAGAGAGAGAGAGAGAGAGAGAGTGAGAGAGTGCAGCATCAACGTGTTTCATAGAATGTATGTGAATATCAAACTGTTATCAATGAACTAAACTTCATTTAAGGAGTGACTTCAACACTTTTTGTCATATATGGAAGTGTAAACCAGTGTGCACACAGTGTGTGTGTTTGACTAAAATCACACAAAAATCAGTGACATTGTTCAGTGTACTACTTCAACATAAGTAATGCATTGTATGAGAGTGTCTGAGTACAGACAGCATGCAGCATGAGATCACTGTCTACATCTAGTCCCCCACAGCAACAACATCAGTCAGCTGTTCCTTACATGTGAGCCATACACATTGACTGTCAGGCCATTCACGTTGAACTTGCAAAGTCCCACGCCTTTCCCCCCAAACCAGTCGCCATGGTAGAACTTGTGAGCAAAGCCATTGAGAGAAAACTGTTGGAAGACAGTCTCGATGATGGGGTGGATGGAGAACATACACACCCGCTGCCGATGGCGCCACTGGAACACACAGAGTGATAGGAATGGTAAGGGACAGGTGTAACTGTGACATGGAAATACAACATTAGAGATAGCTGCTGACAAGACAGACTGTGGTAGGTTTGTCATTTCCCTCTGCTCAGATCCTCACACTAATCCTCCATTGACATTATGTTCTAACATTGAAACTGACTGACCTGTAAAAATAGTGGGAATGTGGCATTCTGGGAATAAGTCTTTGACAGAGACGCTTGTAGTCACTCTTCAACCATACCTGCAGCAGAAAATTAGCACCAGCAGTATAAATCACCTTGTAAAGCAAGTATATTTGTTTGTTTGCAGTATTACGAAACAGTCACCAATATTTAATAGCACAGTAGCCCATAAATAATCAACTCTAGGGCAGACAAAAACATTGTTTGATATCATGGGCAACTTTGTTGTAATTCTACACACAATTATTCACATCACCAAACCTGACCACCTCTTATTTCCCTTACACCTGCAACAAGGTGCTTTGGATCAACTTTAACCCAGGCCTTCTATAAGAATAATAGCAATGAATATCAAGATTGTACCTCGATTGTGTATCTTGAAGTCTCTGCTCACCTCACATAGTACCACAATGTCATAATGTTTTTGAGAAATTTCCTCTCCAATGGCCTCGATACGCTCACGCCGATACTTCACAGTACCTGGGATAAAGACGCCCCTACACAGAAACATGTCATGATCATCACAAGGGCATACTGATTACACAGGTGCAATGGAGGCAGTATACGACACTCTGGACGTCTCAAACATTTAACATTACGACCATAATTCTCTTCAAACAGACAACAATATTCCGAAAAACAGTAGTCTAACCTGGCCGACCTGGGTCTGATGTCTGACTGAACTATTAGCTCAAGATCAACATGTTTATCGTGTCACTGAGAGGTTCCTGATGCTGGATAGTGCTACTTTCTCCAGGGTCTTCTGTACATTCTTGCAGAACTGATCCAGTCTTTTAGGTGCTCATAAACCACTGAGATTAACTTATTTAAAAACCTAATTTTGCTTAAAATGCAGTTAATGAGTTTTCATTTGGATGATATGATGTTCATCCCCATGCAAGTTACATGTCTCACAAGTGCACACCACAGACAAACTGAAAGTAGAGGAGGTGCAGCCTTTCTGTACATAACTGACTACAAACTGATCCAGATACATACATAGCACATGCACTGGATCAACCAAACAAGACTTGTACATATAAGTAGAGGCGTAAGAGGTAAAGGCTTCTTAATTGCTGACAGTGAATTATACAAATAGCTTTTTGAAATGTTTCCTGCATTTGTTATCATGAAAAGACTCAAGCAAGTCAAAATAAATATGGTTGTTGGGATACAATTTGAGAAGTTAGTGTAAAACACACAGCTTATATGGAGCTTCAATGGCCTTAAACTAGCATTCCTTTTTACTCTCAGAATCGAAGACATGTACAATGTAAATAAAGCTGGATAATGACTAGACACATCTGAGCTTTATGTGGTTTTTTACACATAAATACATCATTCGCTCTCACACCCATACTATAATAATACAATAATAAATTAATTCACATTGTCAATAATGTTTACTCTTGAAAACGTTTTTCATATGGTTTCCATTTGTTAAGGTATTCCAGAACCTTGATTTGAAACTAGTATTCCTAAACACAGGTGGGATAAGCTGTCAAAGCAAGCCAATAAGCTGATTGTCAGTGTTCCGAACCATCAACATCAACTACATGTTATGATGATTTCTTTCAATGATTTCTAATGAAAAACATGTTTATGTGTTTTTTTATGTGCATTGATAACACTATTGTGTTGGGGGTTTATTCAGAAAGGCTTTGTAGCTGTCACAATCATCATCATATTTCATTGTTCTCTTAACATGTGCATTTTGTAAGACATTTACAAAACTTATTTGACAAGGGAATTTTGTCTCACCAGCAGTTGAGGGTAAGGACTCTTAGTGTAGTCATCACTGTCCAGTCTTCACAGATAATATCTCGCCCCTTCAAGTCAGTTTGGGGAAAATCTGAAACATTTAATTCTTATGAACTACATGAATTCTTCTTTCCAGTGTGAAATTGAAGAAAATATCGTTTTACCATTGGAACACCCTGATGATAAACCTGTCAGCAATGTGGATAACATAAGTTGATCCTTAACATCCATATAATATCAAATTCCAATATCATGAGGGGCTGTGCAGGCTGAGAATCCTGAGTAAAGAAAACGTTGTATCTTAATATGCCTTTAGCACTAACATCTTCAAGAGTAATCAACTTTTTAGCTTTTCATGTTTGCTGGAACACTAATTGTGGTGCACTTTGTAGTTTTCTTCTAATTTAACTTAGTAATTTCATGGATTATGATAGAAGGGTGGTGTGAAAAACTAACCAAGTCCAAAAGCTGAATCATGTTCATTCAAAATTACTTCTGGACTTGGTTCAACTTTCCTAAATCTGTCCTAACTTTCCTAAAAACATTCATGCATACATATAAAGTTATAATACCAAAGTTTGCTGAAGTTATCTGCTACAACTTCAAGACTGCAAATACAGGTGTTCGGTTAAAAAGTACCGGTAAAAAAGTCCTAAATTTGCCTAGGGCAAAAGGTCCCCTTTTCATTTTCTAAAAAGAATTGTATAGAAAAACAATGCTTTTTTAGTTTAGTGTTTCATTGTCACACAAACAACAAATGTAAAGGTCTTATGACATAATGACGTATTGAAATGTTGATATAAACATCATACGAAATGACTACAGTTAACAGTATAAGTTATAAGTTACATAATGCATCACATGATGACACAAGATAGTTTAGGTCTACTGATAATATAGAAGTCGGGTGTTCACCAGTTCTGGATGTGATGCAATCAATTATAGTCACACTGTAATCAGTGATCAGTAAACACACTGAGACACTTACAACTGTTTTTACTACAGATCAAAGGTCAGTTTAGATATTCAATCGGTGGGCACGTCATGTTTTTTAAGATGTCAATTAAAAGATCAAACATCAATTCAAAAATTTAATCTGTTATTATATATGATTTCTTCATGTTTTTTTAAAATCTTGGATGTCAATCTTATCAAATAAATAACTGAATCACTTTTTAGTACAAAAGGACTTTTTTACAGATGACATTTTTCCTATAATCAGTATACACAGCTATATTTCAAAGGTTTTGAATTCATTATTTGACCAAGCATAGTATATTTTCATTGTAAAGTATGTATCAATTGAATAAAAATATATATTTTCTGCAATCACCCACATTTGATATGACCCAACGAAAGACCAAGGCATAACTTGGGGAAACACATGCGTCTCTTTTTGCTGCAGTGAGGGAAGAAATGGCAGGAAGTGACTGTGTACTATGTTGTTACACCTGATAGAAAGTTGACGATATATCTCGTACAGAAACCAGTCACTCTTCGAAACATGACTCGACTTCAGACGAGGGAACATAAACCCACCAGCCTGGATATCACCTTACAGTAACTGTAGACCAGATGGGTGCATATGTACTTCACCCGTAATAAACAGTCTTACCTGTATAGAAGTATACAACTCTTACCTGTATAGAAGTATACAACTCTTACCTGTATAGAAGTACAAAACTCTTACCTGTATAGAAGTATACAACTCTTACCTGTATAGAAGTATACAACTCTTACCTGTATAGAAGTACACAACTCTTACCTGTATAGAAGTATACAACTCTTACCTGTATAGAAGTACACAACTCTTACCTGTATAGAAGTATACAACTCTTACCTGTATAGAAGTACACAACTCTTACCTGTATAGAAGTACACAACTCTTACCTGTATAGAAGTATACAACTCTTACCTGTATAGAAGTACACAACTCTTACCTGTATAGAAGTACACAACTCTTACCTGTATAGAAGTACACAACTCTTACCTGTATAGAAGTACACAACTCTTACCTGTATAGAAGTATACAACTCTTACCTGTATAGAAGTATACAACTCTTACCTGTATAGAAGTATACAACTCTTACCTGTATAGAAGTATACAACTCTTACCTGTATAGAAGTACACAGCTCTTACCTGTATAGAAGTACACAACTCTTACCCATTATAGAAGTACACAACTCTTACCTGTATAGAAGTACACAACTCTTACCTGTATAGAAGTATACAACTCTTACCTGTATAGAAGTATACAACTCTTACCTGTATAGAAGTACACAACTCTTACCTGTATAGAAGTACACAACTCTTACCTGTATAGAAGTACACAACTCTTACCTGTATAGAAGTGCACAACTCTTACCTGTATAGAAGTATACAACTCTTACCTGTATAGAAGTACACAACTCTTACCTGTATAGAAGTACACAACTCTTACCTGTATAGAAGTACACAACTCTTACCTGTATAGAAGTATACAACTCTTACCTGTATAGAAGTATACAACTCTTACCTGTATAGAAGTATACAACTCTTACCTGTATAGAAGTATACAACTCTTACCTGTATAGAAGTACACAACTCTTACCTGTATAGAAGTACACAACTCTTACCTGTATAGAAGTACACAACTCTTACCTGTATAGAAGTACACAACTCTTACCTGTATAGAAGTATACAACTCTTACCTGTATAGAAGTATACAACTCTTACCTGTATAGAGTACACAACTCTTACCTGTATAGAAGTACACAACTCTTACCTGTATAGAAGTACACAACTCTTACCTGTATAGAAGTACACAACTCTTACCTGTATAGAGTACACAACTCTTACCTGTATAGAAGTATACAACTCTTACCTGTATAGAAGTACACAACTCTTACCTGTATAGAAGTACACAACTCTTACCTGTATAGAAGTATACAACTCTTACCTGTATAGAAGTACACAACTCTTACCTGTATAGAAGTACACAACTCTTACCTGTATAGAAGTACACAACTCTTACCTGTATAGAAGTACACAACTCTTACCTGTATAGAAGTATACAACTCTTACCTGTATAGAAGTACACAACTCTTACCTGTATAGAAGTATACAACTCTTACCTGTATAGAAGTACACAACTCTTACCTGTATAGAAGTATACAACTCTTACCTGTATAGAAGTACACAACTCTTACCTGTATAGAAGTACACAACTCTTACCTGTATAGAAGTACACAACTCTTACCTGTATAGAAGTATACAACTCTTACCTGTATAGAAGTACACAACTCTTACCTGTATAGAAGTATACAACTCTTACCTGTATAGAAGTACACAAGTCTTACCTGTATAGAATTATACAACTCTTACCTGTATAGAAGTACACAACTCTTACCTGTATAGAAGTACACAACTCTTACCTGTATAGAAGTACACAACTCTTACCTGTATAGAAGTATACAACTCTTACCTGTATAGAAGTACACAACTCTTACCTGTATAGAAGTATACAACTCTTACCTGTATAGAAGTACACAACTCTTACCTGTATAGAAGTACACAACTCTTACCACAGTATAGAAGTATACAACTCTTACCTGTATAGAAGTACACAACTCTTACCTGTATAGAAGTATACAACTCTTACCTGTATAGAAGTACACAACTCTTACCTGTATAGAAGTACACAACTCTTACCTGTATAGAAGTACACAACTCTTACCTGTATAGAAGTACACAACTCTTACCCGTATAGAAGTACACAACTCTTACCTGTATAGAACTATCAGAAGTAAACAACTCTTACCTGCATAGTACACTATAACAATTCATGGAATACATATACAGTTCATTAATTACTCCTGTACAGTTAATGTGTTACAGCTTCCCAGGTCATCGATTACATGTGTACAGTTAATGTAGTTCATCTGTAGTTCATTAAATACTAGGGCTGTAACGAATACACTATGTGGCGAATATGATACGTATCACGAATATTGGGTAACGAATACAAATAATTATTCATGAATACAATATTGAAGTTAAGTGATTGATGCACAATATTGAACGCCCATGTTGACAGTGTTAATTTGTCACAGCAATAACCAGTGATCTCATGACACTCAAATTTGGTATCTAATAGTTATAGCTGACAGTAACATGTGCTGCCTTGGAAAACTAACATGACTTGCGGTACTACAAGGCTAGTACATATTTCATTCTTGCATATCTCATTTTGAAAAAGGACATAAGGGTTCAAGTAAAACGGACACCTTTAAAAAAATTGTAAATATTCATGAATATTCGGTTCTGGTGGCCACGAATAACAAATTGAATTCATGAAGGGCTACGGTTTGATTCACTGAATATGCGAGTGAATCGTAACAGCCTTATTAAATACACTTTTACAGTTAATGCTGTCTTCCAATTCTGGTAACAATGTACACCTGCACAGTAATGACTTTACATTTAATGTAATGTAGTACACCTGCAGCGTATGTTACACCTGTACTGTCAATGAAATACATCTGCAGGTAATTCAATACACCTGTACGTTAATGTGGTAAACCTGCAGATTTAATTACCTCTATACAGTTAATGAGACACCTGTACAGTTCATACTGTACATCTGCAGAGAATATTATATTACACCTGTTCTGTTAATATAATCCACCTGCTGATCATTAAACACAGAGTTAATTAACTTGCAGAGTTAATTATTACTGATCAATTCACGGTGTATACCTACAGAGTTAACTACACATGTACACCTGTGAGGTTAATTCTCCTTTGCAGTTATGGTTGTTCACCTGTAGCTGAATACACCCTTATACAGTTAATGTTGAAACCTTCCACGTTCATGTACCCACACTGGCCAGTAGTTCAACTACACTGCCCTGTAAAGTTAACGTAGAACACCTGAAATTCTTTTATAATAATTACATTCATGTATGTATACAGCTAATAAATCACATTTGTACAGTTTATTGATTACACCTGTTTCAATGACAAAACTGCACCTGCATAACACAGAGAACCCGAGGTTTGGGCATTTACTGAATGATTGTCAAAAGAAATGTTGGTGGCCGAGAGAATAGGAATCTCCAACGTTACACTCACCAGGTAAGGATAGTGTGGGCTAGATGTGTATGAAATTATAAATGTCACAAACTGGATCGGCGTGCATCTGGAATTTGTAATGTAAAACGACTTGACTTCCGTTACCGGGATAATGGTTAAAAATACGATAATATATTCACCAAATCTCGTTTAAAAACTGTTAAGAACGAGTAATATTAGCACTTGACATCATTCATCTGCTTCAGTGTTTTATCTATAAACTCAGCGAGTGATGTTTCCTTATTCCGGTAATGTTGTCTTGTTGATCCATTACCTTTGGTCGTCAGCGATCCCGCATCACCTGTGTTTACGTTTATGCCGATACCGTCAGATCTGTTAGGAGCTTTAGTTTATCGAGCTCCTCACAGCGATAGCCCGTTTATGGAGATTGCGGCAGCGTAGACTGGGTCTGTGTCCTATCAAGTTGATTTTGCACAAAGGTCTTTGTACTAGTGTGCGCACCAGTGTCAAGGGACAAGCCTCCCAGTTGACGCGCACGAAGTCACACGCGCTGTGTAGGAGCTTCTTAGTTTTTACTTTCCAGGGGTAGATAACTCGGATTTAACTACAGTAGTTGGATGTCTTTCTTGGTCTGTTGTTTAGAATCCCGTATCCGAATGTTACAAATGCAGTATTAAAATTTCTATTAAAAATAATAAATTTGTTCATTTAATCTTTTTTTTATGAGGTCCACGTTTATTTTTTCATATAACTAGTCAACTACTGTGACAGATTTCGGATTACACTTTCTCAGTAAGTACAGATTCAGTTTCTTTTATCCGGGATTTGAACATCCTCATCGCTGGCACACAGAGTCATCGATCTAACCCACTCAGCTACCGAGGCTGTTGTTTTTGTGCCGACAAATGTTAATGTCATGTATAATGGGTATCGAAAATTATTTTTAAAAATCTTAAAGTCGTTTTCAAATTACTCTGTGGCAATATGAATTAAAACACTCGCCTATATCAAGTTTAGATCCGTCTGGAAAAGAGATACTGAAACCGGGACACAATCGTGATATTTGATCTAGCCTGTAAGTACAGTTTACTTTCAGTCCGCTTACCGGACCCAGATATACAATAGTAATAAAGTTGGTTACACACAGGATCTGACAAGTGTGAGCACAAAGTTTAAAAATACCAAAAAACTTCGTGGGACGTCATAGAAACAACTTCAGTAAAAACGAGTACAAAAGAGGATTGAATATTAAACAACAACAGAAATACACACGACTACTACTAGTATTATACGCCTAACTGACACAATCAAGAAAAGAGCGCGAGATAACCTTATTCATAAGTATTCATAAGTTGGAAGCACTCTAAATATGACATGATTCTTTCCGCAGAGGGGGTAATCTAGTGGTTAAAGCGTACGAAGGCCCGGGTTCAATTCCCCACATGGGTACAATATGTGTGAAACCCAATTCTGGTGTCCCCCGCCGTGATATTGCTGGAATATTGCTAAAAGAGGCGTAAAATCAAAGTCACTCACTCACTTTCCACATAGAGAGAGTCCCTCAACACAACCACCTGCACTGATGGTATGAATATGTCCGTCGTGACTCACATCCACTCGGCCAAACAGGATTATAATAATTTATAATGACTAATGAATAAATGTTATAGGTCCTTCAGGATATATAGATGATATCACGAGGATGACGCCACCTCTTTCCTGTATAAACGATAAATCTTCTCACAAGTTGATTGAGGCTTGAAAACGGATTTTCCGAAAAGGATGGTGCCTTGTGATTTGGAAAGTAATGGTTTCATTTTCTTTACGCCATGGTACGCCATGAAGCAATGTTGTCGACTGGATCAGCTGGGAGAGTCATGAATGTATATTTGTTGAAAATCCATCAAAGTGGTGTGCCCCCCCTTTAACTTGAGGTGTTATATATATACTGATCACGCTAAACTAATGCTGACATTTACAGACTGTTAGAGCGCTTTGTGGTTCTCAGCTCTAGCATACCGTACTCTTGTCGTTCTCAGCTCTAGCATACCGTACTCTTGTCGTTCTCAGCTCTAGCATACCGTACTCTTGTCGTTCTTAGCTCTAGCATACCGTACTCTTGTCGTTCTTAGCTCTAGCATACCGTACTCTTGTCGTTCTCAGCTCTAGCATACCGTACTCTTGTCGTTCTCAGCTCTAGCATACCGTACTCTTGTCGTTCTCAGCTCTAGCATACCGTACTCTTGTCGTTCTCAGCTCTAGCATACCGTACTCTTGTCGTTCTCAGCTCTAGCATACCGTACTCTTGTCGTTCTTAGCTCTAGCATACCGTACTCTTGTCGTTCTCAGCTCTAGCATACCGTACTCTTGTCGTTCTCAGCTCTAGCATACCGTACTCTTGTCGTTCTCAGCTCTAGCATACCGTACTCTTGTCGTTCTCAGCTCTAGCATACCGTACTCTTGTCGTTCTTAGCTCTAGCATACCGTACTCTTGTCGTTCTCAGCTCTAGCATACCGTACTCTTGTCGTTCTTAGCTCTAGCATACCGTACTCTTGTCGTTCTCAGCTCTAGCATACCGTACTCTTGTCGTTCTCAGCTCTAGCATACCGTACTCTTGTCGTTCTCAGCTCTAGCATACCGTACTCTTGTCGTTCTTAGCTCTAGCATACCGTACTCTTGTCGTTCTCAGCTCTAGCATACCGTACTCTTGTCGTTCTTAGCTCCTAGCATACCGTACTCTTGTCGTTCTCAGCTCTAGCATACCGTACTCTTGTCGTTCTCTTAGCTCTAGCATACCGTACTCTTGTCGTTCTCAGCTCTAGCATACCGTACTCTTGTCGTTCTTAGCTCTAGCATACCGTACTCTTGTCGTTCTCAGCACTAGCATACCGTACTCTTGTCGTTCTTAGCTCTAGCATACCGTACTCTTGTCGTTCTCAGCTCTAGCATACCCGTACTCTTGTCGTTCTTAGCTCTAGCATACCCACTCTTGTCGTTCTCAGCTCTAGCATACCGTACTCTTGTCGTTCTCAGCTCTAGCATACCGTACTCTTGTCGTTCTCAGCACTAGCATACCGTACTCTTGTCGTTCTTAGCTCAGCTCTAGCATACCGTACTCTTGTCGTTCTCAGCTCTCAGCACTAGCATACCGTACTCTTGTCGTTCTCAGCTCTAGCATACCGTACTCTTGTCGTTCTTAGCTCTAGCATACCGTACTCTTTGTCAGCTCTCAGCTCTTAGCATACCGTACTCTTGTCGTTCTCAGCTCTAGCATACCACTGCATTACCTACTCTTGTCGTTCTCAGCTCTAGCATACCGTACTCTTTGTCGTTCTCAGCTCGTGGCATACCCCGTACTCTTGTAGTTCTCAGCTCTAGCATACCCGTACTCTTGTCGTTCTTAGCTCTAGCATACCGTTACTCTTGTCGTTCTCAGCTCTAGCATACCATACTCTTTGTCGTTCTCAGCTCTAGCATACCGTACTCTTGTAGTTCTCAGCTCAGCTCTAGCATACCGTACTCTTGTCGTTCTTAGCTCCTGGCATACCCGTACTCTTGTCGTTCTTAGCTCTAGCATACCGTACTCTTGTAGTAGCATCTCTTAGCTCTAGCATACCGTACTCTTGTCGTTCTCAGCTCTAGCATACCGTACTCTTGTCGTTCTCAGCTCTAGCATACCGTACTCTTGTAGTTCTCAGCTCTAGCATACCGTACTCTTGTCGTTCTCAGCTCTAGCATACCGTACTCTTGTCGTTCTCAGCTCTAGCATACCGTACTCTTGTCGTTCTCAGCTCTAGCAGCCCGTACTCTTGTCGTTCTCAGCTCTAGCATACCGTACTCTTGTCGTTCTCAGCTCTAGCATACCGTACTCTTGTAGTTCTTAGCTCTAGCATACCCGTACTCTTGTCGTTCTTAGCTCTAGCATACCCGTACTCTTGTCGTTCTCAGCTCTAGCATACCATACTCTTGTCGTTCTCAGCTCTAGCATACCGTACTCTTGTCGTTCTCAGCTCTAGCATACCGTACTCTTGTCGTTCTTAGCTCTGGCATACCGTACTCTTGTAGTTCTCAGCTCTAGCATACCCGTACTCTTGTCGTTCTCAGCTCTAGCATACCGTACTCTTGTCGTTCTCAGCTCTAGCATACCATACTCTTGTCGTTCTCAGCTCTAGCATACCGTACTCTTGTCGTTCTCAGCTCTAGCATACCGTACTCTTGTCGTTCTCAGCTCTAGCATACCGTACTCTTGTCGTTCTCAGCTCTAGCATACCGTGCTCTCTTGTCGTTCTCAGCTCTAGCATACCGTACTCTTGTCGTTCTCAGCGTTCCAGCAGCCCGTACTCTTGTGTCGTTCTCAGCTCCAGCATACCGTACTCTTGTCGTTCTCAGCTCTAGCATACCCGTACTCTTGTCGTTCTCAGCTCTAGCATACCGTTCTCAGCTCTACTCTTGTCGTTCTCAGCTCTAGCATACCGTACTCTTTTGTCGTTCTCAGCTCTAGCATACCGTACTCTTGTCGTTCTCAGCTCTAGCACTCTTGTCGTTCTAGCTCTAGCATACCGTACTCTTGTCGTTCTCAGCTCTAGCATACCGTACTCTTGTCGTTCTCAGCCCCAGCATACCGTACTCTTGTCGTTCTCAGCTCTAGCATACCGTACTCTTGTCGTTCTCAGCTCTAGCATACCGTACTCTTGTCGTTCTCAGCTCTAGCATACCGTACTCTTGTCGTTCTCAGCTCTAGCATACCGTACTCTTGTCGTTCTCAGCTCTAGCATACCGTACTCTTGTCGTTCTCAGCTCTAGCATACCGTACTCTTGTCGTTCTCAGCTCTAGCATACCATACTCTTGTCGTTCTCAGCTCTAGCATACCGTACTCTTGTCGTTCTCAGCTCTAGCATACCGTACTCTTGTCGTTCTCAGCTCTAGCATACCGTACTCTTGTCGTTCTCAGCTCTAGCAGCCCGTACTCTTGTCGTTCTCAGCTCTAGCATACCGTACTCTTGTCGTTCTCAGCTCTAGCATACCGTACTCTTGTCGTTCTCAGCTCTAGCATACCGTACTCTTGTCGTTCTCAGCTCTAGCATACCGTACTCTTGTCGTTCTCAGCTCTAGCATACCGTACTCTTGTCGTTCTCAGCTCTAGCATACCGTACTCTTGTCGTTCTCAGCTCCTAGCATACCGTACTCTTGTCGTTCTCAGCTCAGCAGCATACCGTACTCTTGTCGTTCTCAGCTCTAGCATACTCTTGTCGTTACTCTAGCATCGTTCTCAGCTTCTAGCATACCGTACTCTTGTCGTTCTCAGCTCTAGCATACCGTACTCTTGTCGTTCTCAGCTCTAGCAGCCCGTACTCTTGTCGTTCTCAGCTCTAGCATACCGTACTCTTGTCGTTCTCAGCTCTAGCATACGCGTGTTGCTCTTGTCGTTCTCAGCTCTAGCAGCCCGTACTCTTGTCGTTCTCAGCCCAGCAGCATACCGTACTCTTGTCGTTCTCAGCACTAGC